GACTTCATCACTATGATGTCTTCAACTCAGACGACCAGACGAGTCCAACACTTCATCATATCATCATTTCAGCAATGCAAGCAGCAAGTAGTAGCAGAATAATTGAGAACACTCAATTTTCATGTAGATGTTCTGAAATTAAACGCCATTGAAAGACCATTTGAATGTAGTATTCTGGTGTTTGTGGCTGCGGTGCATTGCATGCACGCGCGTGACGGTGCAGTGGAGTTGGACTCGCGATATTGGATCTCATAGTTATTTTATCGAGATATTCTGAGATTAAATGCCATTGAAAGACCATTTTGAATGTAGCATTCTGGTGTTTGTGCCTGCTGTGCATTGCATGTGCACGCGTGACGGTGCAATGGAGTTGCGCTGGCGATCTTGGATCTCCTCTGTACGTAACCTGGTGATGACAATAGCTAGAGTTCCCAGATTACCTAGAGTGCTCAACGCCACAAGGATGGAGCGTTACCACAAAGGCAGAAGAGAACAGAAACAACCGGCTAAGTCATTGTTGTAACGCTGCGTTTCATGCACATAGCAAAGCTAAGGCAATCCTCAGACAGCTGGTGGCCTGTACATGTACATCATCTGGCTACAAATTTATACCCGGGCAGGTAGCAAAGTGCGCAAAGGTTGGTCCACTCTCTTGCGACAGTAGCAACCTGAGGAAAAGAGTGCTGAACTCAAACAGACTTCTTCCTGAGGTTGCTGCTGTCGCAAGAGAATGGACCAACCTTTGCTCGCTTTGCTACCTGCCTGGGTATAAATGTGTAGCCAGATGATGGACAGGTTATCAAACGTGTGAGGATTGCCTCAGCTTTGCTAAGTTCATGAAACGCAGCGTTACAACAATGACCTAGCCGGTTGTTTCTGTTCTCTTCTGCCATTGTTGTGTAACCTGGTGATGTGTGGAGAATGTGTCGCTGTACCATGGTGTGGTCTGGTGTTTCACCCCCTCGTCTCCTGCCACCTATTACTAGTAGTATAGTAGTCTGAAAGCATGCATTGACACCAGCATGTGGCTGTACAGTATTGCCGTACATGTTGATCATTCGGATCTGGATGTACTTTCTTATCCTAATGTCAGATCGGTGGGTGGTTGGAGGTGAATCACCCTAAGCAATGCCTCCCTGCCAGAGGTTACATTGCAGGCATGCCTGAATCCATTCGCCTTGGTTGCTTTGCTTCTCTGTCTCTGTATGTGTGTGTGTGTGTGTGTGTGTGTGTGTGTGTGTGTGTGTCTCTCTCTCTCTTTCCCTCTCTGGCTGTCTCTCTCTCTTCCAAACACACACACACACACAACACACACTTGTACTTGTACTTGTTGCTCACTGCCACAAACTGGTCACGTGGATCTCCCCGGGAGAGGGGAGGGAGACTCAAAAAGGAATCTTGGAAAGATGACTCAATTGGCTATTGTTGAACCACCCAACGGCCGACACCCCCTGAAATCCCCAAAGCTCTGGGTGGACTTGCCACACACACACACACACACACACACACACACACACACACACACACACATTCTCTCTCTCTCTCTCTCTCTCTCTCTCTCTCTCTCTCTCTCTCTCTCTCTCTCTCTCTCTCTCTCTCTCTCTCTCTCTCGCATGCTTGCTTTGTTCAGTTCTGGGGCACCGTCATGCCTCTGTAGGGTTGCTGCAAGCACACTGACTACTGAACTTGTGGGGCATGTGCAGTCATGGCAAGTGAAATCCGACTCTTCGCACTGGTTTGCACCAGGGAGTCGTGGAGTCTATCCAAATTGCCAAACGTGGTATATCCGTCGTGTGGGGGATGGGTACGACTCCCTGGTTTTTCACCTTTCCCTCGAAAGTCAAATACTCTAAGAAATTTTCGGTATGAGGGCAAAAGGCCGGGTTAGGTGAACAGAAATGTTTGGTACAGAGAAGCAGTTCCGGATTATGTGTGTTAGTGTTTGCTCGGTGTATTGAAATTTTAGGTATGAAACAGATGCACCGAATGTACCGAAAATAAAAGTACGCCGAATTTTTTTGAAATAATTACATTGTTTGAAAATCCAGAGCCTGGCAGAGGTGTCTTTTGAAACGCACAACTCAGACTCTACGCACATACCATGCTGGCGCTGGCATGCATTTGTGTTGACTGTACTAAAATTAAAAGAGAGATACATGTACTAGTATTACTACACTGCACATGGAGCATTTCTTTGGAGTTTGTTATTGACGGTTCTATTGCCACCATGTATACTATCTTTTCACAACGACGTGCTGGTTCTCTCAGATACAATCCATTCTCATACTCGAATGCCAGCCTCGTACGCTCCACCCTTCGCTTATTGTCATCAGCAGATCCTTTTCTTACTAGAAACAATCATTTGAACTTTGTTAATGGTGAATGCATAGCTGGCAGGGGACCATCTTTGGAGGTACTGGAGCCTGCAACAGGTCGCAAAATTGTAGATCTTCGTATTTCCGACAGCATTGATACGAGTTCAGCAGTTCAAGTGAGTATGTCCACACACTGTGACAGATTTTCAATGTGTTCGAGATTTCAATATCCAAAGTTCATCGATCCGCTCATAGCAACACCTATATTATATTATTAATATACTCAAGAGTGCAATATATACTTATAAAGTAACAAAGGTCACAATGGGCGCATTAGATTACACCAAGAGTACATAACCCCCAGAGTGTGCAACGCCTGATCCAGCTCTGCATAGGGTCTTGGTCGAGCGGAATCGGATCTTTTTGTGTCATAATACCGTACCGTACACATCTGAGGGGAACCCGGGGAGTCGCGGGTACTCTCGGATCAAAAACAATGGTGCCCTGCCTCGAGACCGGCCTTGCGCTGGTGTGGAGTGTACGCATGACATCAGAAGATCCGATTCCGCTCGACCAAGACCCTATGCAGAGCTGGATCAGCGTTGCACACTCTGGGGGGGGGGGGGGGGGGGGGGTTATGTACTCTTGATTACACACATCCCGGTCAATTCTAGAATTAGTTATGGTGGATGCACCGTTCGATTACACAAATTCCGTCGTCAGAATCGATGGAATCCCTTTCCGTCAATTTTGTAGAGGGTGGAATTGCTAATTCTCCCGCCAGAATTGACGCACACGCCGTACACGCCATGCTAGGTCCACGTGCGTGGCTGTGCGCGAGGGTGTACAGGATCCCACTTGATCCCCTTTTACGATTTTTACGTGTAGTCGTTCGTTTACATGGCTTTTCATTGAGATTGAACTCGCACGAATACGCAGCAAAGACTGAGACCACTTGCATTGGCGATGGTATAGGGTGTTTTCATGTTATGACGTGACAGCCGTGGAGCTTGCGCACGCCGTGTCACCTTTTTGAAAGATACTTGACTCGTGATGAACCATTGGAGCAGGGATCTGTGACTACTGTGCTGCACAGCATACTGTACCTTGATGTCGATGCAAACAACAAATTAGGCTGTTCTGGACCCGTATTCGGAGTTGCACACACGCGCTCTGCTTCATGTACTCTTGGAAATACATTTAATACATGTACTTCCTTTGTTACTGGCGTGACAGTCTCCCAAGCAAGGCTTCAAGTGTACTTATGCACGCAAGGTACCTCGGATCCGCGGACCAGAATCCATGCTACCCAGCCCATGCAGTTCATCCTTTGGCTTTCTTTATGAATACTTCAATGAAGTACAGTACATGTAGTGTATATGCATGTACATGTTTCAGGATAACAGCAGGTAACAAGGCGGTTATCCTCAAACATGTCAACTATCAAGCAAGGCTTGCATATACTTTGCGTGTACAATCATGTACAAGAGGCACACACAGGAAAGTAAGGGCTTTTTGTTGTTACTCGGAGTTTCCTGGTTTTTAGGTATTATTATTATTATTCTCGTATCCGTCCCAAATGGGACTCACGACGGCAGAATTGACTGTGAGCATGTGTGTGTGAGGGTGGGAAAACGAAATGAAAAAGAAAAAGAGAGTCTTGTAATAAAGGTCAAATTTAAGAAGAGCAGTACTAGACTAAATGGCAGAGCAGATGTTACTCCATTGTTTTCTGTCGGGGGCATAACTGCTGAGATCACGAAGGCAGCTGGGCTTAAAAATCCAGATAGGTGTAAGGCGGACGTCTCGCTGGAGACTTGTGTTTTTAGGTAGCTCTGGCCTATATTGGGAAAAATATCAAAACAATCAGATATACGCACGGCAACAATCAGGACTAGCCAGCAGATGATTGTACACACCGCTAGGACATACGCCATTGTCTAAACACCGTCTAAGAAAAACTACGTTGTCTCCTCGCCGTGTGTTTAAATATTTTAAATCGAGATACACCCAGCCTCAGATAGATGTTCTGAATCTAACGCTGAAAGCACGTTTTCATTACCGTAGTGTCGCCCTTAATGTAGTTTTTCTTAGACGGTGTTTAGACAATGGCGTATGTCCTAGCGGTGTGTACAATCATCTGCTGGCTAGTCCTGATTGTTGCCGTGCGTATTCCGACTCTTCGTTCACTGTATTGTGCCGTGGTCGTCATGGTTATGGACTACAGTTAAAAGTGTTGGAAGCTATCTATCACAATCAGATATCAAAAACAATTTTCTGTGCAATTTTCTGTGCGATTTTGTTCAAAATTTCAGGGTTAATCGCATAATTTTGCTTGTGTGTAATGAATCCTTCCCTATATTTGTTGCCTGCTAAATCCACACCCATACGTTCGTATTTATGTCCCGAAATAAGAGAAAAACCTGCTTTTACAAACAGTTCGCTTTTCATTTGTTTCAATGAGGAATGAGGAATGAGGAAGTTTGTACTAAACTATGATATAAGATTATAAGTGCATTTCAAATTCTTTTTCTGGAATCAATTACGAGAGACGATCATTTCTTCGCGTATTTCTGTAAACAGTGGGTAAACAAATCCAATTACCTAATATCATTGTTGACATAACTTTATGATACTGACTCATTGCAATGCAAATAGCAATAAAACTCAATCATTTTCGGGCCAATTTTGTAAAATTTAAATTTCAAAGCATTTTGGCACCATATCGCAAGCAACAGCCATCTTCCACAGTGACGCCATCTACCGTTAATACAGTGCCGCCAGCTATGTCCGATGCGTCACAATAGGCTACCCACTCAGACTCGGCAGTTGCTGAAACAGGCCACACGCCATTAACTGGATCTTCGTTCTTCAGACGTTCGGTAATTTCTGCTCAACACAACACTACACTTGACGATACATGCGAATCCCAACCTCCTTCAGTACTGGCTAGTCGCTTGAGAAAGCTACATGCTGGTCGGAGCCATCCGCACACGGGGTAGTGGCTTATCAACTTCCCACACCAGGAAAACACTGAACGCTTGGTGAAGTTCTCGGGATGTGGCAGCAATGTGGCAGCAATGTGGCAGCTCTGCGCTTCCAATGTGTATCTCCACTACTACTGGCATATTGATATAGCTGTAGTCCTAGTACACGAGATGTCTTCATCGGTTCACTTGGCTTTGTAGGTAGACCATAACTCAAACACTCTGCGGCTACTTCGGACACTTTGGGACGTGGGACCTTGAAATCGTCAACGTAGTTGTCGGCTCTTCTGGAAATCGTCGCGTTGCCCACTGTACGATGACATGCATAAACTTCGGAGCGATACTAAGTCCAAAGCCCATCCTGGTTATGACATATGTCCGGCCTTTCCACAGCACTGTCTGGAATCGCTGCAACTCTGGTGCGATGTGGACCTGCAGGTAAGCTTTACGAATGTCCAGCATTTCGTACGACTGCTCAGGTGACGAGGCTCTCCACTCACGGATCTTCTCCTGACACACAGGAGTATCTGCGCCAGGGCTACTAACAATGACGGCATTCAAACGGCAGTAGTCCAGACACGGTCTCACGGGTGTGGTGGGTTTGTGTTCCTGCGCTACAGCAAGTAGTAGTAACACGGCTTCTGGCTTCCCATGCTTGTCTGGGTCATGAGGCTCTAGCCATCCTTGATCTATCCACGAATCTACTTCAGAGCAGAACTCAGCCTCCTGCTCAGGTGTCAACTTGGATCGACTATACTCTCCAATGCCACTGCCAATCGGTTGTACAGGCTCAGCGCCCTGTATCCACTTCCAAGTCAGCCCCCAGTAATCTCGATCTGGATCCCACGACACTGAACCGTCGTCTGCAGTGAACGTCACACAGTTGCCATCATACTCAGTCTTCACGTGGCTCATCGGGTGGACGTCAGTACTAGTTGACTCAGGCTTGCTCATCGGCTGAATATCCACACCACTACTAGTTGATACACTGTCGTTCACTGGTGTAGAAGGTCCAAATCTGGCACCACTGAGCTTTCCATCATCAGCATACTTCAGCTGTACTCCACCGACTGCTGCTATCAGATCAGCTTCCTGATACTATGGAAATTACTGACATGACTACATGAAGCAACAGATGAAGATTGGTAGAATTTTATTGTTCTCAAATAAATCTCAATGCAAACCTGCCTCTTTCTTAGAGAAACCTTGTTTGGGCTACTTCGAGGGGCCATAACTCCTCCAAAGTGCCCAAAGACATACCCTAATATAATATTAGTTTTATATTGATTTTCTCATTCTGGACACCCCTAGCATTGCCAAAAAAGGTGTCAAACAGGTGAGTTTTCGGAAAAAGTATTTCGGCCTTAGTAACCACTCATCAGACAACAGTGAAGGAGATTGGAAGCAGCGCAGGTATATTATATGGTCAAGCAGAGGAGATAGGAGCGATCGGTCCAGTGCGAAAAAATGTGGCTTGCGCTAAATAAAGTTCATGAATACATGTACAGTTGAACATCGATTATCCGCACATCGACTATCCGACCATTCGATTATCCGTAACAGTTTTTTTTGGGCGCACGTGCCGTAGAGTACGCACTGTGCATGTAGTGAGCCATTCAAAAAATACGAAAATTTTGAAAAGTAAAAAGTAAAAAGGTCGTGCGGCTAGTAATAACCACTGAAAGTGTGTGAGTGACAGTTTTTTCTTATCCGGAACATTTGCCTTATCTGAACACCGCCTGACAGTTGTCTGCCCAGAGGTGGTCGGATAATCGATGTTCAACTGTATGTGGATGTGGATGCGTGGGTGTGGATGCGTGTGGATGTGGATGCGTGGGTGCGGATGCGTGGGTGTGGATGTGGATGCGTGGGCGTGGATGTGGATGCGTGGGTGTGCGCCTGCTTATGCTTGTTTTAATGTACTACCGGTACCAGTCTTCTCGCAATGCCTACAAGACGTGGTCGCAGCTGTCTGGCACTGAGCGTGGCCGTCACCTTGTCTCACTGGGCCATGCTATCCGCAGGCAGCGCGAGGACATAGCTCACTTGGAAGTGCGGGATACTGGCAAGGTGATCAGCGAAGCGCTGGTCGACATCGACTCCAGTGAGCCCATTTGTGTATTATGTCTGCACTGATGGAAGAACTGGTGCACATCTACCACTTGACCATGGGGGGGGGGGGGGGGGGGGGGGGGCAGCCATGTTGGTTCAAACTTCAGCCAATCCCTGTGCCAATGGGTCATGTGATGTCAGCCATGTTGGTTCCACTGCGCACATTTCATGTACACTTTCTACACGAATGCAGTCACTTGACAAACGATGTGAACCACTTTATTACGTGTATTGGTTTTGCTGCATGGCATAGGCTAATACCAAGAGTCCATAAACAAGAGTATGCAACTGTGATCTCTTTTCTATGGGCCACATGCGCGGCGCGCTGCCTTCATTACATCATTCAGCTGCAGTCCGCGCACTGCGGAAAATCAAACACCGCACTTTCCCTCCAGTTTGAAATGAACTTTCGTACGGAACTGGAGTTCACGCGCCAGAATTCAGAGATTGTGTAGGTACTGGAACGAATCGAGCAAAAAGGGATGGGCTCGTGCAAGAAATTGAGAGTTTGAATGCATGCTTTCAGAGCGTGATGAAGGCAAGTTACGTAATGAAGGCAGCGCGCCGCGCACTGACCCATCACCACAGTTGCATACTCTTGTTTATGCACTCTTGCTAATACCGAAAGGCTTTTTTGTCGGAAACGCAAATCTGCCCCTCAGCTGAATGGTGTCTTCGCTGTGACGTTGTGTTGTGTCTCATCCGGAGGACGGGCCATGCCCAAACATTTGGGGAATATTGCAGACGCGTTGCAGCGAAGAAAGCATTCAATGTGCTTACTTCGGCATTGCATCAGTGTGCTTTCTGAGGTCTGGGGATGATGTAATGAGGCCAGGGATGATGTAATGTGTACTGATGTGCAGTTTTTCCGTTCTTTTAAATAGAACTGTGCAATTTTCACAATATTTAAAAAGCATGAAAATACGAAAGGGAGAACAAAGGAAAACTTGGATGTGAACTCAGGCTGTACTAATTCGAGCTTGGCAAAATGCTCCAGCCATTTTCTTTGTTCGTGTTTTTTTGGGAGTTGTTCGCTTATAGCATTGTCAATGTACGTGCACAACGCATTGCAAACTGATTGAACATTAACCATTTTACCAGTGTCGCATAACTGCGTTTTGTAGTACAGTATGGTTTGCGATTGTTGCACTGTTCTGTCCGTGACGTGGACATTATGTGTTTGAATTGTTCTTTTTCAAAGGTGCGGACTGTTTAGAATACTATGGTGGACTGGTAGCAGGTCTTGCTGGTCAGCACTTCCAGCTACCTGGTGGCAACTTTGCTTACACACGCCGTGAGCCATTGGGTGTGGTCGGTGCTATCGGTGCGTGGAACTTCCCATTTCAGGTGTGTGTGTGTGTGTGTGTGTGTGTGTGTGTGTATGCGTGCGCATGTGTGTGTGCGTGTGCGTGTGTGCGTGTATGTGTGTGTGTGTGTGTGTGTGTGTGTGTGTGTGTGTGTGTGTGTGTGTGTGTGTGTGTGTGTGTGTTGTCAATCATTTTGTTTCCGCCATGTCCTAACCCCTGTTCTGCTGTATGGGAAGTCCGTATTAGTGTTGTTATATTTCCAAAGTCCACACGTAGGCGGGTAATCTTGTTAGGGTTGAGGGGAGGGGGGGGGGGGGGGGGGGGGGGCAGTTCCATAGCCAATTCAGTCATGTTTCCAAATACTTTTTGACTCTCTCCTGTGAAGATCCATGTGATCAGGTTCCCGCAGTGAGCAAATACGAGAGACAGACTGACAGACAGACAGATGGAGAGAGAGAGTGTGTGTGTGTGTGTATGTGCATGTGCATGTGCATGCGTGTATGCATGTGTGTGTGTTTTGCTGTTTGAGTATTTTCAATACTATTTTGTGTGGTTTTGTGTGTAGGCAAGTTTGTCTATCAGGTCTCTAATGGAACGTTGTTGTGTTCACATCCAGACTTGCTCGTGGAAAATTGCTCCTGCGCTGGCCGCTGGCAACACCGTAGTGTACAAGCCCTCACCGCTTGCTCCACTCTCAGCTCACTACCTTGCGCGGCTGGCGTGTGAGGTGGGATGTCCAGCGGGTGTTCTCAACGTCATTCAGGGTGACGCTAGCACTGGCACTGAGCTGGTCAGTCATCACGATGTTGCCAAGGTCTCTTTCACCGGATCATGTCCAACTGGCGCCGCAGTAAGTACAAATGTACATTTTTTAAAAGTTCTAGCGTTGTTTTTGAACCACTTTCTATGATTTATCCTCCTTGAACCAAGTCGCCATACTGCTAGTCCCCTCCCCTCCCCCCCCCCCCCGACACGTACTTGGACTTGGTAAAATCCTTACCTCATGCATGTATAAACGCTGTCATACACTGTCGTGTATTTCCGACATGTATCAGTGGCATCGGTGGCATTTTAGGGTGGTGCGGTCAGCCAACTGCAGCACGTTTTACTCCTGGTAGGAGGGTGGGGGCTGCGCTGATGTTTTTTTTGGAAATTTAGAGCCTAAATCAATACTTCGAAGTACATGGTATTGATTCACGGGTACCTGGGACAAACAGTGCTACGGTCAATACCGTAGTGACCGTAGCATGTCTGACGTCCGTATGTATGCATGTATTTCGTGCATGTATGCATGTTCCAACACCAGATGCTTTCATGATGTTCACTGGTCATGATGCTGGTGCTGTTGTTGTGTGATGCTGCTACTGCTGTTGTGTGACGCTGCTACTGCTGTTGTGTGATGCTGCTACTGCTGTTGTGTGATGCTGCTACTGCTGTTGTGTGATGCTGCTACTGCTGTTGTGTGATGCTGCTACTGCTGTTGTGTAATGCTGCTGCTGTTGTTGTGTGATGCTGCTGCTGCCTTAGATCATGGAGAAGTGTGCCCCTCAAATCAAGCCGGTTACGTTGGAGCTGGGTGGTAAATCACCACTCATCATATTTGAGGATGCTGATTTGGCCAATGCTGTCAACGGTGCTCTACTCGCAAACTACCTGACCCAGGGAGAGGTGAGTGCATGCCAAACTACCTGACCCAGGGAGGGGTGAGTGTATGCCAAACTACCTGACCCAGGGAGATTTGAGCAGGGGCGTCGGAAGGAGATTTCAAGTGGGGCGGCCAATTGTGAAGGGGGGGGGGGGGGGGCGACGGCGGCTAGGCAATTGAACGCAATAGTACAATGAACACTACAGCAGGGGGGATACTGTCAGCCCACCAGTGCACACTGAGACCATCATAGCCAGGAAGAGATCGAATGCATGCCAGTTATGTCTTGACAGGCGCAAGTCTTGACAACTGTATGAAGTTGGAGTCGGAGTCGTCACCGTGACCACCTAATGGTAGTCCCTGGCGTGCGAGAAAGCGCAGCGAGGACAGTATCTTGAGGAAGCAGTGCCGGTTCTCTACTTTCTCGCGCTGGTGTTGCGCTGACTTGCTCTCTCCGATGTCCACTACCGCGCCTGGTAAACTCACAACTTTCAGGACAGCTTCCTTATGACACTTGGAGTTCTGGTGCGCATCGTACTTTATCGTCGCATCTTTCCAATTAGAGAAGCCTATATCGATGAACGCGCCATCTGCATTAGCTGACCACACCAACTTTCCTTCTGCGTGAGCGCTCGAGCGCGGAAGCAGGTGAAACAAAACACTACATCTCTGGCCTCAGCCATGACCAACGATCAAACCACTTGGCCTGGAAAGCACGTTTCACGACGGACTTCTTCTCAAACTCTCTTTTCGGAAAGTCAAAACCTCTTGGTTGATTGGGCGCATCAGGAACTACTTCAGCCTCCGCCATGATTGAGCGCACCATAATCAAACTAAATTTATCAAACTAAGTTGGAGCAGAACGGCGTGCTGTCTGTAGTGACTAGTGTTAGGGAAAACCTGCCTGTTGCAGTAACGCCGATTATGTTGCGAATCGTGCGTGCTAGATTAGGTTAGATGTGCAACTAGACATGTCCGGTTGTCACCGACCAGCAGCCAGCAGCTAGAGCAGCTAGTGTACGCAACTGAACCCAGAGGTCACGCAGGTATGTACTTCAAAGTTCAGCGAAATACGGCATACTGCACACGTCACCACACGTACAGATGTGCACTGCATGTACTGCATGCATGCATGCTGTATGCACTTACCCCCCCCCCCCAAATAAAATTGGCCCGGAAAGTGGTGGCCGCCCTGGCCGGTGCGGTTCCGACGCCCCTGTTGAGTGCATGCCAAACTACCTAACCCAGGGAGAGATGAGTGCATGCCAAACTACCTGACCCAGGGAGGGGTGAGTGCATGCCAAACTACCTGATCCAGGGAGATGTGAGGGCATGCCAAACTGCCTGACCCAGGGAGAGGTGAGTACATGCCAAACTACCTGACCAAGGGAGAGGTGAGTGCATGCCAAACTACCTGACCCAGGGAGAGGTGAGTGCATGCCAAACTGCCTGACCCAGGGAGAGGTGAGTGCATGCCAAACTACCTGACCTAGGGAGGGGTGAGTGCATGCCAAACTACCTGATCCAGGGAGATGTGAGTGCATGCCAAACTGCCTGACCCAGGGAGAGGTGAGTACATGCCAAACTACCTGACCCAGGGAGAGGTGAGTGCATGCCAAACTACCTGACCCAGGGAGAGGTGAGTGCATGCCAAACTACCTGACCCAGGGAGAGGTGAGTGCGTGCCAAACTACCTGACCCAGGGAGGGGTGAGTGCATGCCAAACTACCTGACCCAGGGAGAGGTGAGTGCATGCCAAACTACCTGACCCAGGGAGGGGTGAGTGCATGCCAAACTACCTGACCCAGGGAGAGGTGAGTGCATGCCAAACTACCTGACTCAGGGAGAGGTGAGTGCATGCCAAACTACCTGACCCAGGGAGGGGTGAGTGCATGCCAAACTACCTGACCCAGGGAGAGGTGAGTGCATGCCAAACTACCTGACCCAGGGAGGGGTGAGTGCATGCCAAACTACCTGACCCAGGGAGAGGTGAGTGCATGCCAAACTACCTGACTCAGGGAGAGGTGAGTGCATGCCAAACTACCTGACCCAGGGAGGGGTGAGTGCATGCCAAACTACCTGACCCAGGGAGAGGTGAGTGCATGCCAAACTACCTGACCCAGGGAGGGGTGAGTGCATGCCAAACTACCTGACCCAGGGAGAGGTGAGTGCATGCCAAACTACCTGACCCAGGGAGGGGTGAGTGCATGCCTAAGGCAAAGGCAAGGGCATGAGCTGCACCAGCACAGTCATCGCTGCATCTACTGCACTACTAGTCTAGTGTGTGTGCTATGCCACAGACACTGATGTGTATTGCACTTCAAGTAAGAATCGGTAACTAATCTCCCCTACCCCAAACTCTCACTGTAGACCAGGAAACTGTTGCAAATGTGGAATCGCGTGGAAAGCGAAAATAAGCCGGCACAAAGCGTAGAGCTGTAGTAAAGAAACTAGTGAAATAAATGACTGTGACGTTTGCCTCTGGGGGGGGGGGGGGGGCTTGTGCACTGTTGCAGCTACTGTAATACCCTGGAATTATGGTATGTTGTGCACATTGAAAAGCTTTGAGGAGCTACACATCGTATCACTGTGTAGACTTTGGCTTGGGTGGGTATTACGTGTACTGGTTCTAACTGGCACAATGTGCTGTGCAATATGCAGCACCCATGGCGGCCGGTGGCATTCAGTCGCTTAGCGTAGGTGCTATGGATGGAGTGTTTCTGTGGCACAAGAGAGATCTCAGGCTGTCTGCACTTACTGCCGCATTGTCTTGGCTGCTGGAGATATTGCGGGTAGGCTGTGGCTGTTCCGCCTGGGCAGGTGGTTGCCACGTCCGCTCTATAGCTGATGGGCTCAGCGTAACCGCAGGCTTGTGGAGAAATTAATTCAAATTATGTGTGTCCGGCCGCGGCCTTGCCCGGACCCTGTAATGGCTGAGTTGGCATTGTCACTGCTCAGAGTGACCCCACCGTTTGACATACATTACAACCATCTCTACTCCATGCCACTCACCATGACTATTATTTAAAGAAGAAACGTGCGAGCGTGTGTGCACCCAACCATTGATGTCTTTGTTGTTATTGAAACTTGTTCTTATTGTGCATGATGCAGCAGTACTGGGCAAAGGATGTGTTGCTGCCGTTCGAGTGGCTGTTATTACTCCCCATCTTTGTCAGGGGTATCCCTACTTCTGCAGTACAGTATACTCCAACCATTCCACTAATGTACCGTCATGTCATTATGTTTCTGCATAGGTATGCTCGAATGGAGCCCGCGTCTATGTACACGAATCTCTCAAAGATGACTTCCTTAGTGTGTGCAAGGATCGTGTGGAGAAGATGAAACTCGGTGATCCTCTACAGCCAGAGACAAACATGGGTGCTGTTATTAGTGCAGCACATGCCGACAAGGTCATGGGTTTTATACAGCGTGCTGTTCAAGATGTGAGTACTGAATCTCTACTGCTGCATCTGCCTATCTGGGCAGGAGAATTGTTCGAGTAGGGTGGACGTTATCATGTGCATGTATTCAATATTTTGCTTTTCGCTGTTATCAAGAGAGTGCACCTTTCTTTACTTCTCCCTCTCCCTCTCCGTCTCCCTTCCTCCTCCTTCTTTTTCTCCTCCTCCTCCACATCTTCAGTATGTTCAACTGTTTATGACTTGCCTGCGTGTGTGCGTGCGTGTGTGTGTGTGCGCGCGCGCGTGCGTGTGTGTGTGCAATTTCCCTGCGCATTGGCTTTGCAGGGTGCTCATGTAGTGTGTGGTGGTGGTCGGTTTCATCCTAGTGAGGTGCACTTGCAAGGAGGTCACTACATCCATCCCACCATCTTGGATAATGTCAATGATGATATGGAGGTGAGATCGAGTTGGACAATGGCAGTGGTTATTACAGTTTGTGATTTGGTTGCTTGCATTGTTGCCCATGCTCACACAGAGAAATTTCATGTTTCTCTTTGTATAGTGTCATTGAGGCACTCCTGTGTTTTGGTCTCTCCTCTCTCTCTCTCTCTCTCTCTCTCTCTCTCTCTCTCTCTCTCTCTCTCTCTCTCTCTCTCTCTCTCTCTCTCTCTCTCTCTCTCTCTCTCTCTCTCTCTCTCTCTCTCTCTCTCTCTCTCTCTCTCTCTCTCTCTCTCTCTCTCTCTCTCTCTCTCTCTCTCTCTCTCTCTCTCTCTCTCTCTCTCTCTCTCTCTCTCTCTCTCTCTCTCTCTCTCTCTCTCTCTCTCTCTCTCTCTCTCTCTCTCTCACGGCAACTTTAGTGGTTTGCTTCTGCTATTGAGCATGCACTTGTATGTATTTTGAATGCTACTTTACTATACTATACTCGGGGAGGGAGTGAGGGGGGTCACTATCCATGCCTGTAAGTCATAATGTTACTACTTGATAGATATCTGTGTTTCTCTCTGCTTGGTGTAGATTGTGCGAGAAGAAGTATTTGGGCCGGTGATGTGTGTTATTCCTTTCACTGATGAATCAGAGGTTGTTGAGCTGGCGAACCGAACACCATATGGGCTTGCGGCAGGTGTATATACCAAGTATGTGGCATGTGCCTGTTTCTTTGAAGATGTTGTTTACGATGGCATGCAGTATTGTATGAATATGGAAGTGGTTGTTGATATTGTTGTTGGCGTTAACGTTGTCAACCCACTTTACTACCATTGCCACTGCCTAGGTACAGTGCCTCGGTACTGGGCGAGAGTGATTGTTGCTGCTGCTTGGTGCTGCTGTCCTGTTACGTCATCGACATGAGAAAATAAACCCTGGGCATACAATCAGCTCAGGGGTATAGGGTAGGCCTAGTTCAGCTGAATAAGCGTGCCGCATCATGTAAATATGCGCTCAAAAATGACTGGACCACTGATTAAGTAGGGCTTCCCAGCCGAGTTGAATAAGCCCAGGCTTGCTTTCCTCATGTATACGACGGCCCCTTAGCTAAGTGTGGCTAAAGCTGTGTTCATAAGAGGGCGCGTGAATGCTGTACATTTCTGGTTCATGTGTGCCCAGATGCGTGTTGAGTCTTTTACAGAAATTATGGTGAAAAAGGAAAAGGACTAAATGGCTCACCATCCGAGTTGAACTTTCACAGAAAACAGGAATTTGATTCGTACTTGTAATTAGGTCGTGCCATTGGGTACTAGTACTGTATTTTCCGCAGTATAAGCCGCACTTACACCAGTAATTCATCCAAAAAAGTCGGTGCCCCGTATTCGGCGTATTTTCCTGAGTATTATCTCTCCCCTCTCCTCTCACCCAAGCCATTCTGCATAAGCAAAGCTGTGGACGCAGCATACTGCTGCTACACTTCAACGCGGGAATGCGCAGAATAATAGTAATAAGCCGCACTGCACTACTGGAGTATGCGTCGCACCCGCATTTATTTCTCCCAAATACAGACATGTACCCTGCATTCCACGGTTCATTTGACCATCATATGGTAAGCCGCACAGACGTGTTTGGGTGAATTACGAGTGTGTGTGTGTGTGTGTGTGTGTGTGTGTGTGTGTGTGTGTGTGTGTGTGTGTGTGTGTGTGTGTGTGTGTGTGTGTGTGTACTGCACAGAGATATCCAGCGCGGTCATCGTGTTGTTGCCCAGCTTCAGGCTGGTACATGTTTTCTCAATACCTACAACATGTATCCAGTGGAGATACCATTCGGTGGCTACAAACGCTCCGGTATTGGCCGCGAGAATGGACCGGACGCACTCTTGCAGTTCACCCAGGTCAAGAGTGTCTTTGTAGAGATGGGCGATTCACCATCGCCTGGATTCTAGCCAACTCACTCATGCCAACAGCGAAATATCATACACGCTTGTATGTACAGGCTGCGGTTATGTCGATGTGCAAACCTTACTTCAGGTTTTATCACAACTTCATGGCACTGGAAAAAAAACCCATCAGACAATACGAATAGCAACCCCAGTGGCAGGATTTATCTAGGCTCACCATTCCTTCACATGATCATGTCATACTCTGTGTGCCAGTACACGATTGTGTAGCGGTGGAATACAACTAACATGCAGGCCATGATGCTGCGGACAGCGCATTGTCCAAAACCGTGCTTTAGCATACCTTTTTGATCTATTGGGTTCTATGGCTTGCTTACTAGAGAGGTTCCGCATAACGTAATTACGTTAGTAAAAAACGTAGTCGATCTACGGAAAGTCTTACGTAAACTGCATGCGCATCTGGGTTCCGCCATACGGAGTTTTCAAATCACGTAGCTGCCCTTGACAACTCCGAACGCGGCAGTGTACGACCAGATCGACCTGGGGAGAGAGTCATAAATTTGTACCCCAATCCACTTACGGACCAGCTACGTTATCAGAGCCCTATCTACGTACTCTCCGTAGTCAACTTTCCGTAAGTGGAGTGCAAACTCGCGAATTCACGGGTTTTTCCCGCCCACTAACGTAAAGTTGCTCAACTTTACGTTGTGCGGAACCTCTCTACTGTCTGCAAATAATGTGTGTGTGATGTGACTGATGTCACATACTAGTTTTAGTGGCATTGGCACTATCGACATAACCCACTTCTACTGGCATTGTGGAATGCTCCTCTTCTATGTGTTTTCAACTACTGAAGTATAATCGGCATGATTCCTATCACAGCCCATTTGTACAGGCAATTTATCCTTTTTAACAGATTGTTCACTCCATAATTTCTTGTTAAATGTCAACACAATAGCAATGGGACGATTTCTTGAGCATTTCCCGTTACCGTATACACTCTAAAGGCCGATTCACAATACAACTTTCTGCGACGCGACACGCGATTTGCGACAGTGGTGACAAGAAACTGCCTGTCGCGAGCTGTCGCAAGCTGTCGCAAGCTGTCGCAATGCACCTGTCGCAGAAGTTGAAGAAAGTTCAACTTTTGCGACATGCGACACGCGACACACACAAATGGAGTACAGTTTCGACCCTGGGTGTACGTGCAGTGCACGTGCATAGTACTTCTTGTGCATGAGGATGTCGCAAACATGAAGAATATTGTGAACCGTGTGTCGCTGTCGCAGCTCGTCGCATGTGTCGCATGTCGCGTCGCAGAAAGTTGTATTGTGAATCGGCCTTTACGCTACGAACAGCCATTGTACAACACTAGTGCGGATAACACAGAACTCGGTGTCGATGTACAGTTTCAAGAAAGATAAATGCTTAGAACTAAGTCTGAAAGATGCCAGCCAGCAGCAACATAATCATAATGGTGTCAAGCACCAGAGAAACTATTCTTCAAGTGGATGCGAGGACAGTGAGAGCAGAGAACAGCAAGGCAAATTGCCACAGGGGCACCTGCAAGTTGTCTTGTTGATGGATGCATATGAAACGTTCCCTGCACCAGAAAGCTAAAGAGCGGGCCATGTACAAGATGATCATAATTATTATGTTGTCATATGACTGGGATGGGAGCATGCGTTAGAAAAGCAGTGAGTCTACAGGGAGCCATAGGCATATGACTATACATATGGAGGCTGTTCACTTGAGCTTCTCAGCAACGTTCTTGACACCAGTTGCTGTGTAGTTGTACGCCCTGTCCCATTGCTGATTACGATTACATGCGGTTGATAGCACAGCCGTCACACCATTGTTCCAGCGTCTGCGCACGGAATCGGTTATCTGCACACAAAGTATTGGGGGACACATTAGATGCAGTGGAGACCAAGACATGCAATGAAGCTTTCAAAGTACAAGTGCATCTCACTGAACCACTGCTGAGCAACAAACACACACACACACACACGTGCACTTGGAGAACGCGATAACACTCAAACCTGACTTACTAGTATGTGCAGCGCATGTGCGCGTGTGTGTGTGTGAGAGTGTGTGTGTGTGAGAGTGTATGTGTGTGAGAGTGTATGTGTGTGTGTGTGTGTGTTTTATTCAGTACAGGGCATACTGTCGTACATGTGCATCTATAGTCTATACTAGTGGCGAAACGAATATCACAACCCAGTAGCCGAATATTCTTCGGCTTAGCGAACGAACGAACGAATATATGTCCACCACCGCATCGTCCGCCATCACAGACATGCCAGAAATGGTCGTGCGGTTCCTGCAATTTGAGGAACTTATCTAACCGTGCCAGTACATGTGCACAGTAGCCGGCTCTATGAGTATGACTAGTCATGTACATAATATCCCCATCATATGCACACCTATACCATGTATACCAGTTATGCTTTATAACACTCAAAATCTGATAACACATGCAGTTTACACTCCGGCCCCTGTTTCTCCCCAAAAGCCTACACGTGTCAGGACGTTATCACCGATTCCTTTCAAAAGGAATAGTACGAGCTCGCATGTTCTCAAGAAAAGGGAAGAAATTCGGTTCTAAAGTTCTGACACGCACGCCATATAGCCACAATAAAACGCACCGTGCCATCGAAGACTCCGGCTTTGCTGTTAAGGCTGTCCACGATTTGTGCTGATTCTGCAGGAGTACCCCACACATTGCCCTTGACGGAGCCAACACCCACAGCACCTCCAACGCCAACAACGGCAGTGGAGCGGAACAGCAAACTAGCAACGGCTGAAGCAACCGACATCGCGTTGGGATACAATTACAGCATTCGTGAGCACAGCCTCTCGGAGTCTCCAAACTTCGACGAAACCTTCAGATCACTTCTTCTTATCAAACGAACTTCTCATCCAGTTTTCATTCTTTTGACTGGGCTGATCAATCTTTTCAATCTCGAGGAACGTCGAGATTTTTCGTTTCGATTACGTAACTCAAGAAACAGATTGCGTCACACGTACATAATAATTAATTTTTATTATCGTCACGATTCTTTCGATTTTATTTTTTTGAAATTATTTGAAGCTTCTGCACGTGCAGCTCAGGTCGTTGCTGCACTGAATTATCTGGAGTATTTTATGAAGTGGAGCGACTATCCACTCAGCTCTGTTTCGTGCTTTTTGGTGTAGCTGTTGTTCCTGACTGTCACAATGGCCTGGAGAACAATCTCATTCCTGAGCAAAAGTGGCTCTGTTGTCTAACAGCATGAAAAGAAAATGCGGCATAGCATTTGGTATGGGCACTTCTTTGAAGTTTTCGTCTCCGCAATTTGCCTTCTAAATCTGCCTTATTCTTGCTGCTGTTGTTCCAGCATGGTGTCCGACTTTTTCCACCCGAATGCGGGCGGGGTGGAAAGTCATATCTACCAGCTATCTCAGTGTCTTATTGAACGAGGACACAAGGTAAAGAAGACCCCCTGTAACAGGCGAAGGGAGACGAACATACATGTAGAAACAATGTCAATGGGTGTTTCCTTCTCCGTTTGGGTCCCAATTGGCATAAAGAGCACGAGTTGTGCTGTCACCATTATGGTTCTGTCTGTTGAAATTCAGAAAGTGAACTGCATACTACATTGTATGTACATGCACTTCCTGGTCCTGTAGCAAAAGCTGTGTTGGAGCCCAGAACTTACCCACCGGTCCTGTAGCAAATGCTGTGTTGGAGTCCAGAACTTACCCATACTGGTACTGCATGCATTTGTGACACAAGGCGAGCTGTGCATAAGTGCTCTGCTGTGCTCCGATAGCTAGAGGACTCTGCACAGATGTCAGCCCGGCACAGAGAAAATAAGGCCGAACCTGATAACAGTGAAAAAATGAATATACATTTTTCAAAGCCAGATTTAAACCAGGCCCGAATGTGCCTTGTCAGAGTGCGCAAACTGACAAGTCATTGGGCTCTGCGTTGCACAATTATTAGCAAAGGCACAACCCCACGTGAGAGGAGGTGTTTCGTCGTTTGTGGAGTACGCACTCGCAGGTGGGCTGTACAGTTGTATGGCTATACAGGCCACCTGCAAGTGCCTACTCCGTTTTTCATTCCAGTGCTGTCCAACAAGTGAGCTGCCAGCTAAATACCCTCACTATTGTTGTTCTTCACCAAGTCCATCACACGAGTAATTCAAACGGATAGAAACGTCACTGCAATACAATTATCGTGATGGCTAGTGGGTACATATTGTTGTATTGCAGAGACGTTTCTATCAGTTTGAGTACCTCATACATGTACAATGACTTTGGTAGAGAACAAACATAGTGAGGGTACTGAGCTGGCACTGAGCTGGCAGAACTCTCATTACTTACATCCAAGTAATCAGGTACACTCCATGCATGCAGTGTACATGTCACGCATACTGGCGAGCTGGTGCTGACACATGGCCTTACACATCTTGCACTTGACGAAACTTGCAAGAAATCACCACTTCCTGCTCGCTACACAGTGTTTTGTGTGAACTGCTGTACAGTGACTGTGTGCTTGTTTGCTTGTTTGGCATGCAGGTCGTTGTGATCACGCATGCTTATGGTGAACGTGTCGGTGTCCGTTATCTCACCAACTTTTTAAAGGTACGCCCTTCTGTCTTTGTAAGTGCTGTGTCTGGTTTGTTTCTGCTGGGTGGGCGCAGGGTAATGCTGTGTCTGGCTTGTTTCTGCTGGCTGGGCGCAGGGTAATGCTGTGTCTGGTTTGTTTCTGGTGGCTGGGCGCAGGGTTATGCTGTGTAATGCCTGTTTGGTCTTTGCTTTGTCATTTCCTTCTAATGTTTTGTGTTACAGGTGTATTATCTCCCGCTTGGAGTGTTCTATGCTCAGAGCACGTTACCGACTCTCTTCACGTCTCTGCCGTTGATCCGTGACATCTGCATTCGTGAGCAGATCACCATAGTCCATGGACACTCGGTATGTGCGTGTGTGCGTGTGTGTGTGTGTGTGTGTGTGTGTGTGTGTGTGTGTGTGTGTGTGTGTGTGTGTGTGCGTGTGTGTGTGTGCGTGTGTGTGTGTGTGTTTATTTTTATTTCATTTTTTACTATGTTCACATACCCAACTCGTAAATAATAATGAAAGACAATGGTACTGAGACTGAGACAAGGACAAACGTGTGTAGCGTGCGTGCGTGTGTGTGTGTGTGTGTGTGTGTGTGTGTGTGTGTGTGTGTGTGTGTGTGTGTGTGTGTGTGTGTGTGTAGTGTGCTATCTTTGTGTGTCTTGTAGCAGTGATTAACTAGCTCATTAAAATGCCTGTCAAGCTAGAGCGATCTAAACTTTCAGGCCCTACCGACAGTGCTGTGTGGTGCCTCCCTGCTGGCCGTTTAGTTTGGATGTGCATTGGTGATGGTGATTGCATGCACCGTGCGTACATGCATTGGACTGAGTAAGAGTTGAGGCTTACCGTACGGGTGTCTCTGACTGACGTTAGACACTTGATACTGAATACTGGCCGGCCCAGCAAACTAAGCTAGGAGTGTATAGTTTGATTTGTCAGCACATACTCGTTATGCCTGAGTGATATGATGCTGGTGTTGTTTGATTGTGACTGTTCTATACGCACTGCACTCTGCAGGCATTCAGCACTCTGTGCCAGGAGGCTCTCATACATGGCCGCAACATGGGACTCAAGGCCGTCTTCACTGACCATTCGCTGTTCGGATTTGCCGATGCCAGCTCCATCATCACAAACAAGTTCTTGCAATTCTGCCTGTGTGACGTGAATCACACTGTGTGCGTGTCCTACACCAGGTGAGTGGTCATCTCTCACCACGTTGTGCTCAGTACTGTATGTACAATGTGCCATCTCTCACCACGTTGTGCTCAGTACATGTACAATATGCCATCTCTCACCACATTGTGCTCAGTACATGTACAATGTGCCATTGGGCGCACTCAACTGCAAGTTCTAGTATGTCTCCAATCTAAACTGACTAGTGATGTCATTGATAAGTTATGTGCGCATGCACACACACATGCCTATACACACACGTGACATACACACATGCACGCACACACATGCACACACACATACACACACACACACACACACACACACACATGCACATACACATACACACACACACACACACACACACACACACATGCACACACATGCACACGCACACACATGCACACGCACATGCATGCACACACACACACACACACACATGCACATGCATGCACACACACACACACACACACACACACACACACACACACACACACACACACACACACACACACACACACACACACACACACACACACACACACATACACGCACGCACACATGCACACACATGCACACACATGCACATGCACACACGTGACACACACACACACACACACACATACATGCATGTTCCCACCCACACATGGTACGGTGCCCCTGGCTGATCCACATCACAAGCGGTGGTCACATGTGCACCATAATGAGGACAGTTGGATTGAGATGTTGGTATGGGAGCCATACAGGCTGCTGTTGCACTCCATCAAAGCTCTAGAGTGGCAATTGAATCGACGTTGAATATATACATGTAGCTGAAGTGCGGGAATGTTGCATTATTTAGCAAGACAAATGGCACGGACATACATTCTTCTCAGAGAAAGGCCAAGTGTGCTGTGGAGGAGGAGGGTGTTTCAAATAGGAACGGTTTAACAGCAAAATTTTGTAGACCCGAACTGATCATCAGTGTGGATTGTTCACTTGAAATATGTTTGTGGAAGGTAGCTGGCATGTTGAAGTTTGCTCTGAGGCCAGAGTCGATCGAAGCAATACGTCAACAACTCACCTGCTTGGTATGGCGCTTCTGGTCATCGCAGAGCCATGAACTTTTGGCTCGGAGTAAAACACATAGTAGTCTCACTGTGACACATGTTTTCTAATCAAAATACCAAGAGAGAAAGTGAATATTGAGCCCGTTCCGGTTTGCGACATATGTCCTTTTTGAAACACCCTCCTCTACATGGTGTTGGGATTCATCAGCTTGCATAATGGCCGAGTCTGTCTCCCTCCTCTACATGGTGTTGGGATTCATCAGCTTGCATAATGGCCGAGTCTGTCTCAACATCCTCTTCTCAAGTACATGTAAATCAATGTTTTAGTCTGCAATTTGTTCTCCACAGGCTTGTTGCTGTTGTAGAGATTTTTCTAGCGATCCTTTAACCTGCCCTGTGCTAGTCTGTCGTTGATCATGCCCTGTGTGGTGCATACCATCTCCTGGTTCTGTGCAGTCAGACCTCGCTTATCCGGTCCTCTTTTATCCGGAGAAGAAAATCTTTGGTTACCGACTTACAGCATAATGATTGTCATGCATACATACAGTATGTGTGTTCGATTATCTGGTTCCCTTGCCTATCCGGATATTTTTTATGGAAAACGGATGTGTGCGGTTAAGCGAGGTCTGACTGTATAACTATATTCTCTGTCATGCTACTCAGCAAAGAGAACACCGTGTTACGGGCATCTCTACACCCCAGCACCGTCTCAGTCATCCCTAATGCCGTGGATGCCGGTATGTTCACACCAGATCCCAGCCAGCGCCAGCCTGGACGTAGTAAGTATGGATGCTTGAAGGTGTACATGTGTGTGTGTGTGTTTCTGTTCAGTGTTGCTGCCGATCTTACTGGTGTCTATAAAGTAGTAGGAATATTTTGTAATGCAAGTTAGTGTTACTGGTATACTGCACACTACTTAAAAAAAAAGTAGAATGATTGCAGTTTGGTACTAGTGTGTGAATGTCACCTCATCTGTCCAGTGTGTCAATGTCATCTCACTCTGGCAGATGTATCTGTAGCAGTGCAATCATGTCACTGTTGTACTGCTGTCACGGGCACTCTGTTAGCACTCTGTTAGCACTCTGTTAGCACTCTGTTAGCACGTTGTTCAAATGTATGCCAGTTGATACCATTTCTGTTGACAGACTGTGGAAACCCGTGGCTATATTGTTGCGCAAGCTTCGCTAGGAATGTCAGCATCTCAATGATTGTGTGAATATGTATATATTCGTGTTGACAGACGTGATGCTGATGTAGACACAGACAGTTTGGCCTTGCTAATCTCACTGTATCTACTCGTGTAGACAGACAGTTTGGCCTTGCTAATCTCACTGTATCTACTCGTGTAGACAGACAGTTTGGCCTTGCTAATCTCACTGTATCTACTCGTGTAGACAGACAGTTTGGCCTTGCTAATCTCACTGTATCTACTCGTGTAGACAGACAGTTTGGCCTTGCTAATCTCACTGTATCTACTCGTGTAGACAGACAGTTTGGCCTTGCTAATCTCACTGTATCTACTCGTGTAGACAGACAGTTTGGCCTTGCTAATCTCACTGTATCTACTGGTGTAGACAGACAGTTTGGCCTTGCTAATCTCACTGTATCTACTATTTACTATCTACTATGTACAGACTATGGTACAGTGATAATGATAGTGATAGTGACAGGGTAAACTAGTGCAGTCGCCGCACCTTTGCTGCAATGGTGATATTTTGCAGGTTCTGCAGCAGCAACGTGTGCTATTTTATGAAATCTTCTATAACAATTGTAATTGTCACATGGAGAGGGACATATTTGACATTTTACTCCCTGGGTGCCAGTAGGCTTGCTCAGTTGCATGGTTACTTTTTTCCTGGGTGGTTAGGGTATTTCCTGGGTGGTTAGGGTATTTCTCCTGGGTGGTTAGGGTATTTCCCTTGGGTGGTTAGGGTATTTCCCTTCTCAATTTTAGTTAGTACTACAGTACAGTGCTGCTGTGTGGTGATGGCTCTTCCATGCTTTCTTGTAGGTATGCTTAATATGTATTGGTCCTGTGCATAATCTGTGGTGTCCTTTGGTCTCTGTTTTGTGTACTTGGATATCGTTGTTGCCTGATGATTGCGAGAGCATGAAACTTCAAGTCGCAGCACACAAGCCTTGATTGTCCATGTTGTTCTGTTCTGTACTTGGATATGTATGTGTTTGCGACTTTACGTACTTGTGTTTGCGTACGTGTGTTTGCATACGTGTGTTGGTGTGTGTACATGGTATGTATGTGTACGTGTGTGTTCGTATGTGTGACTGTTCAGTCACAATTGTCGTTGTTAGCCGACTGGTCTATCGCAAGGGAATGGACTTACTTGCTGGCATCTTGCCGATTATCTGCAATCGTCACGGCGATGTGCACTTTCTCATCGGTGAGTGTAGAAAGTATTATGACATGGTATGTGGAGAATGTGCTGGTTCTAGTGCTTAAAGTCTGTAACAGAACAGGCCAGCGCACTGCATGCCTACCTACCCCAGTACTTGTACTATTGGGGTGGGGTGATGTTACATTGGCAATGGCCACTCCTCCATTTTGTTTTGTTTTCATCTTTAATACCGGTATCTGAATGTTGTGTACAGGTGGTGATGGCCCGAAGCGTGTCAATCTGGAAGAAATCTGTGAGAAGCACCAGCTGCATGCACGCATGCATCTCTTGGGATCCATTGCCCATGCGGATGTCCGGAATGTAAGTTTAGAAAAGAAGTTTGTAAGATTGAGCGCGGGATCATTCCTGGCGCTTTGCCATACTGGGTGGCTGGGGCGGTACACCCGTTATGTGGCCATTTTGACTCCATTTTCAAGATACATTGTAATTGGTATGATGGAGATGAAATCTGGACATGTGAGCGGGTCGAGTAGCGATCTCATGTTGCCCCATTTTCAAACTTTCGAGAAAAAGGACTGCGTCGTTTTGGGTCAACTTGCGAAGGAAATAGTTGTGACTAGTTCTGGCGGCGGCGCTGCATGCTGAAGGTCTTGACCAGGGTGTTTTGACAGCGCGTCAGTGCAAGCTCAGAGGGGTCCGTTGGCAGTGGCAGTCCGAGTGAGCCGCGCGAGCCCCAGTCGAATCCTGCAGGAAACTTGTTACTGAGTAGCCAAGTGGAAATATTACTTCTCTTTGCAAGAGTAGGGCTTGCTAAACGGCCTCGTTGAACGTGTTTTTCAAGGATTTTCACCCGTTTTTCGTGTTTGTGTTTTTCAGTACACTGAGTAGGCAGAGTTTCAAGAGAAAACTCCACTTCCCCCATTGAGGGGGGGGGGGGGGGCATGTGATTTCTACCCGACCTGCTCACACATGTTTCTCGGTGAATCTCTTGAGAATAGTTCTCTCTAGTTTCTTTGGTCCTGCGTTCTTTTTTGAAGAAAATTTGAAAACATTTTACGAGTGGTGCGTGAAAAGTGAGCTCGAACTCATGAGCGCTCGAGCATAGTTGCACAACCATCGAACATTTTGATGTTTGTGCTAAAGGAAGATTTGTCCTAGCGTAGTACCCGTGTTTGACCTAAAGAGGTTTGACTCTACATGCATTGTATTGTTTATTTTAAGGATTCTTCAGAGGTAAACTGATACCTGTCATGGGAGTTACTCCAAACCAATAGAATAATGAAAAATAGAAGTATGTACCACACTCCTCACGAGTGCATGTGTATGTGTGTGCGTGCGTGTGTGCGTATGTCCGTGTGTGTGTCCAACCTGTCGGAAGGCTACCCTCTTGCCAAAGCATTTTGGAAGTTGGACTAGTTTCGGCTCCACAATCCAGTGTGTCGTTACTATATAGCTTTCATGGCTGAGGTTGGTACGTCTGTTGGCCCTGGGTTCCCAGTACCCAGTTGCCGAGACTGTTTGGTAAAATAAATCTAATTTCACTTCAAGGTACCAGTGCATCTAGTGTCTGCTTTGATCGAAGCAGCGTGCTGTCTATACTGGTTACCCCAGCAAGTGTAGGGTGTGCATAGGTAACTGTCTTGGCCGTCCTATCCGATGTACTCCGTGTGGTGTAGACCAGGTGTGCATTGGGGGGGGGGGGGTCGATTCACATGGCTTCTCCAGTTGTGTGGATTAGACAGTTATCTGGCGCTTGTCTTGATCTATTTCAATCAGAATCAGATCCGCTATCGTTGCTATAAAGAGAAAATCTGTGGGTGCACATCCAGTGCATTTGCAGATTTGCGTGCTTCTCTTGCGACGGGCGTATACATGGTACATGGTGTGTGTATGTGTGTGTGTGTGTGTGTGTGTGTGTGTGTGTGTGTGTGTGTGTGTGTGTGTGTGTGTGTGTGTGTGTGTGTGTGTGTGTGTGTGTGTGTGTGTGTGTGTGTGTGTATGTCAACATCTTGTTTTCATTCTGTTTCAGGTTCTTGTCCAGGGCGATATCTTTCTGAACACATCCCTGACTGAGGCATTCTGCATGGCCATAGTGGAAGCTGCCAGCTGTGGGTAAGAACTAAGAACTGGAAATTGACATTCAATACAGTACCACACTAGTACAAGCGGCTAGTAAGTAGTACCGTAGAATCCCGCGGATAGGCCGCTGGGCTTATCTGTTTCATAAGGACATTTCGGTGGGCTTATACAAGAACATGGGCTTATACGCGGACACGGGCGTATACGCCAACACCAAAATTGCGCTATTGAAAAGTACCAAGGAAGTGAGAAGTACATTGCTGAAACCCACTGTGCAAACAAAAACAACCGATGATTGTGTCGAAATGTACAAAAAAACAAAAACGTACATGTCCTACTTACATGGTACTTGGGCTTGTACAACGAAGCTTGGTGCTGTTCGAACTTGGCCTGGGCTTATGCGCGGATGGGCTTATCCACGGGATTCTACGGTTTTACCAAGAGTCCATGCCCCCCGAGTGTGCACCTCCTGATCGGTGCCAGTCCAGAGGCCTGGTCAACGAAATTCCTCTGATTGCATCATGGTGGTGCATTGCAATGAATCACACTGGTTATAGCAATGAATCACACTGGTTATATTAATCCAGAAATCAAATGGAAGGAAAATCTGCCCAGGATGACTGGACGTGCATGATGTAAAGTAGGGATATAGACGCGTGCTGGGTCAAGACCAGTTGCACACTCTTGAGGAGTTTCTAACTCTTGATTTTACTCGACAACTGTCTACGGTTGAACTCTCATATTCTCTGTGCCATTGACTTTTTGTTGTTGTTGTGAATTTTAGATTTTCTTCTCCAGGCTTGTTTCTTCTCCCTCATGCAGAAACAACAAGAGTTCAGACATTCCTCCCTCTTGGAGAAAAAAAACAAGAGTTCAGACATTCATTTTAGATTTTCTTTGTGCTTTGAACTGGTGTTCTCAAGGCTGTAAATTGAACTTTTAACTCCTTGCAAGCCTGGGAAATTCCCATCGCACTTGTGACTGCTGTCGAACGCAGATTTTCTGTGAGTCAATTGCTGAGTAGGCGCGCGTGTGTGTGTGTGTGTGTGTGTGTGTGTGTGTGTGTGTGTGTGTGTGTGTGTGTGTGTATGATGTGCATGTACATGTAACTTGCATGTGTCTGTTGTAGTCTGAAAGTGGTGAGTACAGATGTAGGTGGTATACCGGAAGTCTTACCCACTGACATGATACAGCTAGCTGAACCCAGTGTGGATGGTAAGTGTGCAGCCTTTCAGAGCTCTTGTCTTGCTCACAGCTGTGTGAACAATTCAACACACTTCTTAGTGGATGCACTATCAAGTTGGGGTGAACGACTGACCAAAATGCCTTATTGACTCAGGGCCCGTTTACATAAACCCAGGTGCTTATGGTAGGCCCTCTTTGATCAGTGAGTGATCCAGTCATTTTAGTGCACGTGTTGACTTGATGTGGCGGGCCGCGGGCGTATTCAGCCTGCCTGTGCTGAACTAGCCCTACCCCAGACCCACACCCCCCCCCCCCCCCGGACTTATTTTCTCATGATAAGCTCTAGGCGTATATGCGAGGTTTTCGTGTTTCTATTTTGCCTCTGGAACCGGCAAACATGTTTGTCATGAACAATACATGGCTACATGTATTCCTTTATAGTTTCTGTTCTTGGCATCGGCTCTTCTGACCTTTCCTTCAGTTATGTACTCAGTTGTCTTCACTCTCTCTCTCTCTCTCTCTCTCTCTCTCTCTCTCTCTCTCTCTCTCTCTCTCTCTCTCTCTCTCTCTCTCTCTCTCTCTCTCTCTCTCTCTCTCTCTCTCTCTCTCTCTCTCTCTCTCTCTCTCTCTCTCTCTCCTCTCTCTCTCTCTCTCTCTCTCTCTCTCTCTCTCTCTCTCTCTCTCTCTCTCTCTCTCTTCTCTCTCTCTCTCTCTCTCTCTCTCTCTCTATCTCTCTCTCTCTCTCTCTCTCTCTCTCTCTCTCTCTCTCTCTCCTGTGTTGTGTTGTCAGGCCTTGTAACCGAGTTAGAGGTAGCTATCAGCAATGTTCGCCAAGGCAAAGGCATCTCGCCCGAACAGGCTCATGCCCGTATTGAACAATACTACCAGTGGTCTGAGGTGGCGGAGAGAACAGAGAAGGTAATCATCGGTACGCACTGTAACACACCGCACACCACACACCTTGCTGCTGAATAGTCTGTTCTGCAAGATCATGTCCTGAGTTGTGCATCATGATAATATCACATGATGTGTGTGCATGTGTGCGTGTGTGTGTGTGTGTGTGTGGGTGTGGGTGTGGGTGTGGGTGTGGGTGTGTGCCAGCTAGTTCGGTTGGCAGGCACACTTATGCCAGGTAGTGTTGGGTCTCAGGGGCGCCGTAAGGTTAATTTAGGGTGCTACGGTCAGCCACCTGAGGTACACTTGTTGAGAGGAGGTGGCTCCGCTAATAAATTTCGAAAATTCAGAGTCCACTGTGACATCGCAGTGATCGGTGCTTTTCATTGATTCACGGGTACCTGGGGCAAAGAGTGGTACGGTCAATACCGTAGTGACCGTAGCGTGTCCGACGTCCCTGGGTCTGTTAGCAACATGCTCGGCTGCTTGAAAGTATATCCTGGGTCTGTTAGCAACAGGCTCGGCTGCTTGAAAGTATATTGTTGTACAGTACCTACTACCTTTGTTGGTTTCACGGTACCCCCCCCCCCCCCCCCCCCCCCAAGGTTGCTATGTTCATATAGCGTATTGTCCGCTGTGTTAGCGTATTGTCCGCTGTGTTAGCGTATTGTCCGCTGTGTTAGCGTATTGTCCGCTGTGTTAGCGTATTGTCCGCTGTGTTAGCGTATTGTCCGCTGTGTTAGCGTATTGTCCGCTGTGTTAGCGTATTGTCCGCTGTGTTAGCGTATTGTCCGCTGTGTTAGCGTATTGTCCGCTGTGTTAGCGTATTGTCCGCTGTGTTAGCGTATTGTCCGCTGTGTTAGCGTATTGTCCGCTGTGTTAGCGTATTGTCCGCTGTGTTAGCGTATTGTCCGCTGTGTTAGCGTATTGTCCGCTGTGTTAGCGTATTGTCCGCTGTGTTAGCGTATTGTCCGCTGTGTTAGCGTATTGTCCGCTGTGTTAGCGTATTGTCCGCTGTGTTAGCGTATTGTCCGCTGTGTTAGCGTATTGTCCGCTGTGTTAGCGTATTGTCCGCTGTGTTAGCGTATTGTCCGCTGTGTTAGCGTATTGTCCGCTGTGTTAGCGTATTGTCCGCTGTGTTAGCGTATTGTCCGCTGTGTTAGCGTATTGTCCGCTGTGTTAGCGTATTGTCCGCTGTGTTAGCGTATTGTCCGCTGTGTTAGCGTATTGTCCGCTGTGTTAGCGTATTGTCCGCTGTGTTAGCGTATTGTCCGCTGTGTTAGCGTATTGTCCGCTGTGTTAGCGTATTGTCCGCTGTGTTAGCGTATTGTCCGCTGTGTTAGCGTATTGTCCGCTGTGTTAGCCGCACTTTGAAACGCCTATAATAACTCCGTTCCGTTTTCGCACCGTGTGACCATCAACTGGTATTCGGGCATCTTCAGCACGCATACGTTATGGGTTTGTTCAAGATTTTGGTCAAGTTCATCGAGTAAGTCCAGATCATCCGCCCACTGAAGCTCAGGGGCAGATGGAGCTAGGCCTGCATTTTCCCGTCGTAACTGATGTGTCAGCTGCTGCTGCTGCTGCTGCTGTTGCTGCTGCAGAACATGTTGAAAGTAGCATGTAAACAGCACACACGGCTCAGGCAATCTGCCTGTGGTGTGGCAACGCCATGGTGAAGGGCACCTGCAGTGTGTCCGTAGCATACTCAAACAGTCAACGACTGGGTGCTGTGTCCACAAGCAGCGTTAAGACCATGGCTCGAGCAAAAGGGACGCCAGGTGCTGCATTGAAGATTGATTCAAGCAGGCTGCTGCTGACACAACGCAGTAAAAAAGTTACATATTGACAAACAAAATTGAACCTGACCGCTTTCTGCACATAGAATGCTTCATTAGAGGATGTTACCAAACTAGCTCGTTCACCCCGTGCAACCACACATCAGCGCAACCTGAACAACCATTATTGGTTACACGAGTAGATAATCATTATAAATTGGGAGAGCAAAATATGAATTACAAGTCGAAGCAAACCTCCATGACCAACCAACTCTCAAACCCAAAAAAGACCAGCAGAAAATACAAGCTGGCATGCCTGCATGCATGCACGTACAAATTCATCATACAAGATGTACACCGGTAGCATATACTACTGATGTACAGAAACACGTGCACAGTCCGCAACAGACCAAGGTTCAAAAGGTAAGTTACTAGGGGTGAAACGATTAGTTCGAATATTCGAGTATTCGTTCGAAAATCTCAAACGAGCGAGTACAGTCAGACCTCGCTTATCCGGTCCTCGTTTATCCGGATCCCTCGCCATCCGGAAGAAAATCGCTGGTTACCGATGTGCAGCATATGTTATGCATACAACATAACCGGACCTCGCGATCCGCATACCGGTGCATGATTTTGAGTACAAACTGGTTAAAATGTGTATAAAAAGCTTCGTCGTATCCGGTTGCATGTGGCTTGCAGAAGCTAGAATCAGGGAGTTGTACAAGCAAATGAGGTCCTTGACCTGCTGGGTGCATGCGGACAGCACTCAGCAGCAGATCAGTTGCATGCACTTGTCATTTTTCTCGCTTGTTTTACATACTGTGCACGCTAGTTGTACTGCATAGGACCCGTCTACATGTATTTTCGATGTCACTGCTTTTGACATGCCACATGCATATACAGTATGTGTGTTCAGTTATCCGGTTCCCTCGCCTATCCGGATATTTTTGTGGAAAACAGATGTGTGCGGTTAAACGAGGTCTGACTGTATTCGAAATTTTGCACTTGATCGTTTTAATTTTAATTTTATTGTTTTATAGTACTGGCATTCTATTTTTCAAAAACTCCTGTTGTACTGCTCATCGACTGGTATGCACGCATTATTCGTGCCTTTGAGTCAGTATTTTATGACTTGGACGATGCGATCACCACGGCAAGTAACGTTATTTTGTTTTGAGATAATGAAAGTACTGGTGAAAATCGTTACTTTACACTCTGTACAAGACGTTGGCGACTTTTGTTCTATGTTCACAGATAATTTCTTCCGAATTGGTCGAGAACTCACAAATCTAGCGCTTTTGAATTTCGATAAAATACTCGAAATAATCGGATACTCGATCGAATATTATGAATGAGTGATTGGTTGGTCAAAATAGATACTCGTTTCACCCCTGAAGGTAACGATTCAAAAGTCCGTCACTACGCAAATATAATACTTGTACTTGAACGAAGAGAACATCGATGAAGCGTAATTTTTATAAAACGGAAAGTACTGCAAAGCAGTTGTACAGTTCAGAAATATAAAAAGGAATAAGACATTGGATCAACTGAGTAACATGTCAAAATAAACAGTTCTTCGTCTCCAAGCACTCTAGCTTATAAACAGGATCACTATAGGCGGGTAGTGTGGCAAAACAAGTTGCAATGATGAAAAGCGCGGTGTACAATGTTGCAAGACAAGACGCGAATTGTTGCACTGCAGTGAGTTTCCTGGGAAATGATTCGAGAGTTCATGAACCACATGCTAGGTGCAGTTAGTACAAAGTTGGTACAAGATAAATTTCGGTTCCAGAACTAACCAAAATGCAGAGCCAATAGCTCTGCTGAATGATATTGGTAACTAATTATAAAACAGCTGCTTGGTTTTCCTGAAGAAAATCTGAGAATCTACTTGAAGTAGGAAAAAAGACTGCTTCAAAAGGGAACGATAATTTAATACAGTGTATTCTGAACAAGTGTGAATAATGGGTAGTACAGAAAACTAGTAACTGTTGGTTTTTCTGTGAGGCAGAATCTGAAGAATTACTTATGCGGTTTGGGTTCCACAACGGTGAATAATGTTCTTAAAAATCAGGCGGGTATCCTCGTTTCTGGAGCCGTGTCCAGAAGAGTTTGCGAATATTGAGATTGTCTACCAGCAGCTGGTTGGTGCGATTGTATCGAATTAGCTCGGCGTTTATGAATGAAAGAAGATTAGTGCGGGGGTGGCCTGACTTGAAAGGCATGTATAAATATGCATTCCTGTCTTTCTGGAAAGTTCTGTAGGAGATTCAATCTATCCACATCTATCTTTTAAGAGTATTTCTAAATCTAGAAATACGGCTGTAGAAGAAACATCAGACCAAGTGAGCTTAATATCAGATAAATCGCTGTACACGATGGCATCAAATTTTATCCTTTCGAAGGTCTTGCTAACTATTAAACATAAATCGTCAACGAACCATCCCAAAAAAGTAAACTGATGAACGGAAACTTTGAGGGGCTTTTTCTCGTGCATAAAGAGAAAATATTAGCAACGTCAACGGCCATTGGGGTACTCATGACCATACCGAACTCCTGATGGAAGAGCTTTTCCTTAAACTCAAAATAATTGTTTTCTAGGACAAATTCGACTAGGTCTACAATAAGAGAGCGTAATGGGTGTTCGGTTTCGGCAAGGAAATCATTGATAGCTGCTACTGTGTCTGACCAATGCATGTTAGTGTAGAAACTGGTGACATCGGCTGTAACGATCATAGCATCAGCAGGAAAGTCTTTACTGGATAAAACATTCGTGAGACTATGAGTGTCCTTGAGCACAGTGTTAGCAGGTGTCTTGGCAAAGGCTTTACATAAATGGTGGTCTATGAGGCGAGATGCAGGTGTGGTGCGATAACCTAAGCAAGACACTATGGGTCTACCCTTTACAATGCCATTAGGACCTGGAGCCTTATGTATCCTATTGATGGTTCATGACTGCCACGATATCATGTAAAGATTGTTCAAGAAAGTCTAGCTCAGCAACTATAGTGTCTGGACTAGCTGATTTCTCGACTGGTGTTGGAATAAATATAATAGTACTTGCAATCAGACACCTGTCTATAACCTTCTGCTACATAGTCTTTCGTATTGAGTACACCTGTTCCGAGGTTCTTATCTGCGTTAGCTATGACAATATCGGTACGGTTGATAAGACTGCATAAAGCATGCTTCTCACCTGGTGAAAGGTTACACGGACGGTGTAGAGAGCGAGCAGCAGCTACCCCAGCATTGAGTTCTGTCTTAAACTCGATTAGGGCGTTTCTGTAGGGATGGATACTCGTGGTGGTTGTCTTGACGACTTAAGATGGAAACCACGAATATAATCATTGCGGTGGATGGTGTCAGCGAATTCTTAGCATCAACACTAGACAGGCGTAGTGAGAGTAAAGCAGAATAGCAGTGTGCTTGAACAACATCAGCTGTATGACTAAGCTCTTGAACAACATCAGCTGTATGACTACGCTCTTGATCAACATTAGCTGTATGACTAAGCTCAGGATCGTCTTTCAGGGCTTTTAGAAGATCTTCAAAGTCTGTTTTGGCTTCAGCTAATCGTTCTTTTGCATTGTTGAGCTTATCGTTGGCAGCAGAAATTCCATTCTGGGTGAATTGGGTCGACTCTCTTAGGATGCATTGGGGAGATAGCACATATTCAGTTTGGTTACAGATATTTACACCTTGCTGATTACGTCGGATGGTGCCAGTCGAGGTAGTGACGTGTCTGGCAGGGTGCTGAAACGTAGTGTTTGCAAGTCGCATGCCAGTTTCCTCACAGCTCTCCAACAGCACCTCTCCGTTGGAGCTCCTTTGACCGTTTGCCCACCTGCCTAAGCAAGTGTACGCGTCGGATGCTTGGCGGCCACCTACCTTAGCGTTGAAGTCGCCTACCACGAGCATGGGTGTTCTCTTAGCAAAGCTAACTTACAAATAGGAGTCGGAAGTGAGTCATAGAACTACTCCTGTCCAACTACGGGTGTCTTCTCAGTCGTTAGGAGAGTTGGAGCGTACGCTGAGATATACGCCATTGAGCTCTTGTTCGAGGATGAAAGCAATAATAGAGCATAGCCGAGCCAGTCAGAGACCGCTCTCCATCGTAACAAGTGTGGAAGTAGGCGAGGGCCAATAGCGAGGCCCAGTCCACCGTATTCAGTGTTGTTTGTGGATAATGAAAGCAGCGCATAGCCGAACGGTAGACTCCAGGTGCATTCGTCAATAATTTTAGTTTCTTGAACAGCAAAAACATCAACCGAGCGAGCTTTCAGTGAACTCGTCAGCTGCTCTCGCTGTAAATTGGACGAACAACTACGAACATTCCACATAGCGACTCTCAGAAGCTTACTAGTCATGGCTGAGGGATGAAGACGGTGAAAGAGGAAAGAGAGAGGAGAGAGAGAGAAATGTCATGGGCTTGTCAGCACCCAAATCCAAGTTTGGATGGCCAAAAATTCGAAATCTGATGTGCGGCTTATACTCTGAATGTCAAAAAAGTGTAGCGGATTCTCGGTCACATGACCTGATTTACTTCGGTTTCAATGAAATTCTCATATTATTGGCTTCATGAAATTCTCCGGTCTCGCGGTCACACTTATATGTATTACGACCGCTTTACCGTACACTGGTCCGTTCCGTGTCCTCAAGCGTGCTGACAAGCATTTCACGGTCGACGTCAAGGGCAAGTCCGACCAGGTAAGCATTGACCGCTTGAAGCCCGCATATGCTCTGCCTGTTACAGCTGCTGCTGCTTCTGCTCTTTCTCTGATTGTCCCGCCGGTTGCTGCTGCTGCCCCACCCCCTGCACGTGCTGTTCGCTTTGCTACCTGATCGGCTGGGCTCCTCCGTTCTTTGTCGCCGTGGGCTTTATGTCGGACCTTTTCTGGTTGCCGTGCGGTTTTCATTTTTTTTCTTCCTTTATACGCTTCTTCTTCTTCTACGTTGCGGTTGCCGTTTCTCTCCTTTCCAAAGTTATCGTTTCCTGCCTCCGGCTTGTACACTGGCAGGGGAGTAATGTAGCGGATTCTCGGTCACATGACCTGATTTACTTCGGTTTCAATGAAATTCTCATATTATTGGCTTCATGAAATTCTCCGGTCTCGCGGTCACACTTATATGTATTACGACCGCTTTACCGTATCAGCATGCGCCGTTCACTTCCGCACCGTATTATCCTTATTTGCATGCGTACTACAGCTGTGTACAACTAGATTCCAGTGCGCCGCTGGCCTTCCCTTTTGGTATAGTTGTACCGTACACCGTATTCAGCAGGCGAGCAGAAGTCGCCGCTCCTTGCCTTTTGCCTTGCTTCCATTATCTCTCTCTCTCTCTCTGGTTGTGAGCCGAACAGTAATGTTTCTGTCCTCTCTGTAATCTAAAGTAACATTAATTATGACACCAGATTCAATCGTTCGAAGTTAGTTCTAAATTCACGAATCCAGACTTTTGTATAGAATTACGTAGCGCACTGCTACAAAAGATACGAATTTGAGCGGCCGTTGAGCGGCGGAGACACCCACGTGACCAGTTTTGGCAGTGAGCAAGTACAAGTACGATTACAAGTGTGTGTGTGTGTGTGTGTGTGTGTGTGTGTGTGTGTGTGTGTATGTGCATGTGTGTGTGTATGTGCATGTGCATGTGTGTATGCATGTGTGTGTGTGTGCGTGCGTGCGTGCGTGTGTGTGTGTGTGTGTGTGTGTGTGTGTGTGTGTGTGTGTGCATGGCTGGTGGTTTTGCTTGCGTGTGGTGTGTCTGTGTGTACAGGTGTATGACTTGGTCTCGGAGGACACACCGATATGCCTAGCTGATCGACTGCACAAGTAAGTCACATTGTGGTGTATTGTAATCACAATCATGCAGTAACGTTAGGACAAGACGTGAACATGCAGGTGCCTGTGTGCATTTCTTTTCAAAACAAAACAGTACTGTAGCTATGATATACTAGTAGTCGGGGAAGTCAACTGCCTGATAAGTGAAGAACGAAAAAATTAACCCCACCAGGACTGGAACCTGGAACATTGCTTTTCATGACCAATGCTCTAACCATCTGAGCAATTCTCTAACCACCTGAGCAATTCTCTAACCATCTGAGCAATTCTCTAACCATCTGAGCAATGCTCTAACCATCTGAGCAATGCTCTAACCATCTGAGCGCGTGATTTCAAAGTTCCTCGCGGGAAATGTGGAAGAAAAGACTTTTTTTATTTAACTACTGTACTTCGAAAATTAGTTCATTTCCTTCAAGAAGAGAGAGAGAGAGAGAGAGAGAGAGAGAGAGAGAGAGAGAGAGAGAGAGAGAGAGAGAGAGAGAGAGAGAGAGAGAGAGAGAGAGAGAGAGAGAGAGAGAGAGAGAGAGAGAGAGAGAGAGAGAGAGAGAGAAAGAGAGAGAGAAAGAGAGAGAGAAAGAGAGAGAGAAAGAGAGAGAGAAGAGAGAGAGAGAGAGAGAGAGAGAGAGAGAGAGAGAGAGAGAGAGAGAGAGAGAGAGAGAGAGAGAGCGCGTGTATAGCACCTAATGCAATTTACCTAGTAAGGCCACACTTTGTTTTTTCTATGTTTCTCGTCATCGCCCGCGTAGGTTTTCAGAAATTTCGGAAGAAAAAAAAAGTTCATACTACGTACATGTGTACATGTATGTAGATCTACGTACGAGTGACTCGTATGGATGCAGGCGGAAGAAGTGGAAGGCGGAAAACTATCAGAAATTTCGGAAGAAAAAAAAAGTTCATACTACGTACATGTGTACATGTATGTAGACCCGGGTGCTCGAATGAGAGACAGGGTACCAAAACAGAAACAGCCTGAAATTGTACCGGTCTACGCTGCACATGCTGCAGCAGCTAGATGCATCAATCAATAATATGGCGTAAACGTTTGCACCACAGCATGCAGCAAAGGAGCGCTCCTCGTCCGTTCTCTGCGATGAAGGCTGTCATGACGAAGCTTTCAGTCGTTCACTGGCTGAGCTGAGCTTCGTGGGTCCCAGGAACAGTAGGTCGGACGAGTTCCGCGGCAACTGGCGTCTGTGGAACGATGTCGTAGGCAGAAAATCCAAGCAATAAACGCATGGCAAGGAAAAGATGAGCAGCATGGAGACAAGAGTGTGATAAGCGGAGACAAGAGTTTGATAAGCGGACACAAGAACGTTGAAGTAGCAAAACCAAAAATTAATGACGAGTGGGAAACGTTTGTTGATGCGATAGCAGATAAATGTATGTTCTCTTCGCCATCTCGTAATCAAACTTTATGCTCTCATTGACATTGTTGCAGTTTGCCTGATATTCGTGGGCTGATGTGATAATGTAGTGCAATCATGTATGGGACTACATGTACATGATTGTACAATGTAGTGCTGATACATGGTATACGCAGTGTCTTGTATGAATCACGCATATACATTGTACATACAGTTTTCAGTAGAAATTGTTTTTGTTTTTTCCTTGGCTTTTGTTTTTTTTCCGCCCGCCCGCGTACCTTTTGTTAAAATTTGCCGACGAGAAACATAGAAAAAACAAAGTGTGGCCTAAGTTGCAACACAGCGTTTCTGGGTAGTCGATGATTGTTGATGGCTGCCAGATTTCAGGATGCTCGAGACTTGGAGCTGTACATGACATGCGTGATGGACGAAACTTCGTCCGACGAGTCTGAGGAGGATGACCTTTTTCTTCTGTATAATGCTGCAATGCGTGAAGGCCAAGGAGAACATGGTAGACGAGGAGAACATGGTAGACGAGGACGACCTAAGCTGGATCTGAACGAACTTTCATTATCCCGATCTGATGAGCTGTTCCGATTTACGCCAACCGACATTCCTAGACTGGCAGCAGCCTTGGATCTGCCTCTGACGATGAGTGCTCCGAATCGCTCGCGCTGGGGAAGAGTTGAGGGACTGGCCGTCCTTCTGCGGCGGTTCGTTAATCCTAACAGTCTATCAGATTCAGCTGATGATGTTGGTCGGGGAGAAGCTGAGATTTCTTTGATTGTGAATCATACGGCAGATTTTCTGGCTCACCGGTGGGGACACCTATTTCTGCAAATAGATCAACCATGGCTGACGCACGATCGATTGGAAACGTACTGCGATGCAGTTTTCAGTCACACCTACCTATAATTACAACATATGGTGATTTATTGACGGGACTGTGCGCCCCATGTGTAGACCTATACGGGGCCAACGATTATTCTACAATGGCCACAAGAGAATTCACAGCTTGGAATTCCAGGCGATCTCGTGTCCAGACGGCATGATCGCACATCTATACGGTCAACTTTCTCTTAGCAGGTGAGGTTTCATCAGGTTCCAGAGATGATGATGATGATGACGATCTCTTGTTTGCAAGGCGTTGCATAGCACTCTCTCGCATGTCCTTGATGACGATTCGGTCCTCCTCTTTCTTCTTGGCCTCAGCCAAAGACTCCTTCCGCACCTCCTCCTGCTGATCAGCAGCAGACTCATACAAAGTTCTCACACTCACCAGCAAACCGTCGATCTCATTATAATCCTCAGATGTACCGGTTTGTCTGGCGCTGTAGTTCTCCTTCCTGATGTGTGCCTTCACCAGCAAATGAGTTCTATCTCGAAGTGTACGGATGGTTACCGGCTTCCATTTGGCGTCGTAGTTAGTTGCCAAATTCAGGAGTACAGTGTTCCAGGCCGGCGAGCCACGTGAGAAGGGCTTTTCGGTCGACGCTGCCACTTCTTTCAATAAATTGATGTCCTCTTTGGCTCCAAAACGAAATTTCTGGCACAGCCTTAGGGCGCGTTCAGACTACCGTGAACCCCGTCAAACCGTGAATGCCGATAAACCGTGAAGGACATTCACACTACCGATAACAAACTAACGTTTATACCGTGAAGTTTTCAGCTCTCACCGCGGCACTAACAAGGGATTTTCCCTTTTTTTCGCAGCGCGCATGCAGCCTGAGCACTTTTTTACTGCCGGTAAAAGTTTACTGCCGCAGCAGCCGCGGCAGTAAAACTTTCCCACCGGTAACGTGCCAGTAACGTCACGTGATCCAATCACCTTGGCGACTTTCACAATCGGTCACTTTTTATCGGTAGTCTGAACGCGCCCTTAGTCTGCGTGTCCTCGGCAGCCATACCGAAACAAAATTTGCTCGGAGAAGAAGATACCGGAAACACAAAACAAAGATAGCAAAGAATAAAATTACGCCTCTCGATCGATCGTACCTCGTGGGTTACAAAACAAAAACTACAACATAAAAACATCGACGCTTTTTGAACTCTTGCCCTCTAGCTCTTGGTGCAAGTGCAAAGGCAAATTCCTACGTCCTGCCACACCATACAAAAGGCCTTTTCTACGTCGAAAACGTTGCCTGATGAACGTACATCCTACGTCGCGACGTGACCCCGAAAAACAAAAAACAAACAGTTTCCCATTTTTTCTATGTTCCACTATTGCCTTGTCACAAAAAAATGCAGCGGACAGTACGGGTGCATAGAGCACCCGGAACGATCGATTTGTGGCCGTGTCTCCCCTGTGTGAACTGAAAATACAATTAAAAAATGAGGGGGGGGGGGGTAGGACTAGGAGAGTGCAGTCTCCCCCCCCCCCCCCCCCACACACACACACACTTGGCTAACAGTTAGAAATAGAACCCTGTAGCTATAGTTGGTGGACAATCCCTAGCAATATCCAGAAGAAGAAATACTGTACATGTAGAACCCCGATTATCCGGACATCAACTATCTGGATGATTGATTATCCGGACATCAACTATCTGGATGATTGATTATCCGGACATCAACTATCTGGATGATTGATTATCCGGACATCAACTATCTGGATGATTGATTATCCGGACATCAACTATCTGGATGATTGATTATCCGGACATCAACTATCTGGATGATTGATTATCCGGACATCAACTATCTGGATGATTGATTATCCGGACATCAACTATCTGGATGATTGATTATCCGGACATCAACTATCTGGATGATTGATTATCCGGACATCAACTATCTGGATGATCGATTATCCGGACATCAACTATCTGGATGATCGATTATCCGGACATCAACTATCTGGATGATTGATTATCCGGACATCAACTATCTGGATGATTGATTATCCGGACATCAACTATCTGGATGATTGATTATCCGGACATCAACTATCTGGATGATTGATTATCCGGACATCAACTATCTGGATAAGGGTAATATTGTTATAAGGGTACTGGTTCATTTCATACATGTACGTCATAATGCATGATTTTTGTTCATTTTTTACACTCTTCATAGCCGTCATAATGCATGATTTTTGTTCATTTTTTACACTCTTCATAGCATCAAAACTAAGGTACATGTATGTTCTATGCACATTGTGTACACAACAAGGCATTACTGGTGCCCCCATTGTATTTCGTCATGTCCCAGCGACTTCTCACGTGAAGCTTGCCCTACCTGGATAGGGGCCTCTACATATTTCCTGCTAGATATTGTTATAAAATGGAAAAAATGCTGAGTGGTCAGCCCATTTTATATCGTTATAGGGAACGGGTAATATCGTTATAGCAATACATGTATTGTTATAAGGGTAAGGCGCTGTATACGAAAGTCAATGGAGTGATTTGGTTTGGCAGAAAAATATCGTTATAAGGGTAATATCGTTATAGGGGTTATCGTTATAAGGGTAGGTTGACTGTACTCATGATCTCCAGAAAAGTCTGTCAACAACAAATTCCGTCGCGGGCCAAACCAAACGGAGTTGCGCACTCTAGTTGATGTACTCTTGATAATACGGAGGCTTAGCAAGACAAATAATACGGAGGCTTAGCAAGACAAATTTCGCTTTTGAGTTCACACTCCAATGAAAGACAAACTCGATGACAAAAGTAGCACTGGGATAAGAATTTGCAAACAGACTTTGGCGACTGTAATGCTCAACGATGTGGATGAACTGTCACTCCCTGGCAGAACTGTCACTCCCTGGCAGAACTGTCTCTCCCTGGCAGAACTGTCACTTCCTGGCAGAACTGTCACTCCCTGGCAGCCTGTTACAGTCGCTGCCGTTGGGGCAAGGCGTTAAATAATAATTATTATGGCACCGCTTGTCTGGGGCGCACTCGGGTCAGCAGGTCAAGGTCTTGATTGTGAGTTGCTTTGACCCTAAAGCACATAGAATTTGCAAATCCGGGATCGAAACACACACATTGTTTTGGATGCTATGATCTTGTGTTGTCAGTCCCTGTATGATGTAACAGTTATATGACTGACTGTATGCTATCTGCTAACGTCTCGCTCAGCCCTACAAGTAGATTGTATGTTGTTCATGTGGTGCTGTTGCATGCTGTTGATTGCTGTGTCTCTGCATTTCTTTGTGTGCTGTGCCCTCCTCACCCTCCTCACCCTTCCCACCCTTCCCACCCTCCTCACCCTTCCCACCCTCCTCACTCTCCTTCCCACCCTCCTCACCCTTCCCACCCTCCTCACCCTTCCCACTCTCCTCACTCTCCTGACCTTGACTGTAGGTTCTACTCACTCGGACCTGTTGCTGGCAAAGTCTTTTCTTTGCTGTTGATGCTGTGCTGTGTGTGGTTGATGTTTGTTGAGTGGTGGAGACCTAGCCAGGTGAGTACCGCCAACTGTTGTTTCTCTGCACTGTGCTGGATTAACGAGTGCCCTGCGTGGCTGGATGTCTTTGTGGATGCATGCATGCTGGATCAATTTGATCCGACGACCTCAAACCATGGCGCGCTTGGTTTTGATGGGGGCACATCAAGCGATTCTGTATTGACTGAGAGATTAGAGAGGTTCTGGAGTACGATTTTTCGTGCCAAAATCCGTAGAGGCGCTACGGATTTTGTATACGTTGATTTCGAGCAGTGAAATGTCCCGGAGTACGGAACTTGTGTGTTTGCCGTCATTGCCTAGGTTACGATTGCAGACACGTCACATTCCCGCGTTATGCCTTTTTATTTTGAAAAATTGTACCGAAATCAAAACTTCCCGCGGAAAATCGATGTTTCTCGTACCAAATTTGTACGCGAAAAATCTTTCTGCACCCGATGACGCAAAATCTCCATACGAAACATGGTTCGTATGAAAGCCAGTCCACACGGATTCTCCGTGCCGAAAAATCGTATGGAGCACACCTGGAAAAAATCCGTAGCGCCCATACGGATTTTGGCACGGAAAATCGTACCCCGGAACCTCTCTATTGTGTGCACGGGAGAAAATTTTACTCTTATCTTGCAATGCCAAAATGTTTTTTTTAAAATAATCGACATGGAGAAAGTAATTTAATTGTAGCTATGAAGAGTATAAGAGATGCAGACATTACTATTCACCATATTTTAAACCCGGGATAACCCGGGATAACATCAAAAGGAACAATACATACCGTACTGGCAATATATATGGTCGCAGTGAGGCCATGAAGCGTTACATTGGCACATGTTTACCGCACGCAGGGCGTTACATGCAAAGTCGCACAGGAGCCGTTACACAGGTTTCTATATTGCCGCAGTCCTTTTTTGCTATCGCAGGACTTCCTGCTGCGTCCAGTTTTGAACTTTTCACCACGCGGTACACGTGCTTTCACAGTTTTCAGCCTTTTTTGCAATGAAAAGATCGCCGCACCCTGCCGGACGCGCGTTACGAACGCAACGACAATTTGTCGCACTAGCCTGGTCGCGCGTTACGGCGCACCCCCTGCGTTACGCGTTACGCGGCAACATATATTGCCAGTACGGTAATCACTGTTCAAAGTGTGATAAAGAAGAAAAGAGAAGAGAAGAGAAGAGAAGAAAAGAGAAGAAAAGAGAAGAAAAGAAACCAAGTGGGATTCAAACATCAAATTCACAAGTGTGATATCAGTTAGCATGCATAATGTAATACGAGTGAGTGACAATAGAACGTAGAACACCTTATCACACTTTCAACAGCGATTATTTATTGTTGCTTTTGATGTAATCCACCTCAGTTCCGTATATTCCTGCTGTGCATGCCAACGGACACATGTGTATGATTGTGTGTGTTCGTGCATGCCAACTCGTGTGTGTGTGTGTGTGTGTGTGTGCATGTGTATGTGTGTATTCGTGCATGCCAACTCACGTGTGTGTGCATGTGTACGTGTGTGTTCGTGCATGCCAACTCGTGTGTGTGTGTGTGTGTGTGTGTGTGTGTGTGTGTGCATGTGTACGTGTGTGTTCGTGCCTGTGTTTGTGCATGCCAACATACACGCGTGTGCATGTGTAATACTATGTGTTTGTGCATGTGTGTGTTTGTGCGTGCCAACATCCGTGTGTGCTTGTGTGCATGTGGCACGCCTATGTGTTACAGTTTATTGACCAAGCACCTGATCTAGGCGGCTGTAGGGAATCCCTGCACCAGCAATACCATACCCCTGACACTGGCACCAGTAGCAAACACCAGCTAGAGAACAAGACCGCGCCAAACAGTGCTAGGAAGCGCAATTAGCCAATTAGCCTGGTTACAATTGTACCTGTGACACTTGGCTATTTTAAAAGAATTGTCACAATGATTTGAAGATGATCCCAGAATAGTTGATTTACTTTTTAAATTTTTTTTAGATTCTCTGTTATTTTCTATTCTTCACCACTAACCGTATTGATATTTATTACTCTTCCTCCCTTCCCCAATTTAGCTAAAGTAATACATGTACTTGACTTTTAGGATAGTTGGCTTGAAAGTTCCTGAATATTACCAGTGAATGTAGTGCATGCGGGGTATCACAAAATTCATTATTATTTTAGGCCAAGCAAAGCTTGATTATCGTCTCCAACCCAGAAATTGGGCAAACCTGGTGTTATTTTATGATTTTTATTCGCAAGTGAAATTCACTCCGTTTTAGCCTCGTTTACTTTTGAACGATTTTTCGGTGATATACATGGATGTTGTCCACCTGTCCAACTGTTCATGGAAAATAAAACTTTTGTCATGATTCCATGCCATTTCAGCGCCCTAGAGTTCAGCGAACGTTTCAGCGCCGTGAACCTAAGCGCCGAATTTTACAGCGCCAGCAGATAAGCGCCGAATATTTCACGCCATATATTCAGCACCAATTACGTCAGCGCGACCTTTCTCAGCACCATGTTTCTCAGCGCCATTTGTATATGTATGTATGAATATCGCCTGTAATGACTACAAGTTTTGACTTCGCGCTTTATTGCATCACGCTGCTGTACTTTATCGCGCTGAACTGCACCGGGCTGTACTTTATCGCGCTGTACTTCTTCGAGCTGTAAATTACCGCGCCTTACTTTTTCGTGCTGAGTTGCTGGCGCGTACTTTACCGCACTGATAGTCCTGGCGCTGAAGAAACTGGCGCTGCGAAATCATGCGCTGAGGGTGCTGGCGCTGAAAGGGTGGCGCTGAAGTGGCAACTGACCGTAATAATACCCCATCCACCTTGCCCTGGCCTGGCCTGCACGTAGGAAATCTAATTTCTAGCACACCATGCACTCACACACCATGCACTCACACACCATGCACTCACACACCATGCACTCACACACCATGCACTCACTCACACACCATGCACTCACTCACACACCATGCACTCACTCACACACCATGCACTCACTCACACACCATGCACTCACTCACACACCATGCACTCACTCACACACCATGCACTCACTCACACACCATGCACTCACTCACACACCATGCACTCACTCACACACCATGCACTCACTCACACACCATGCACTCACTCACACACCATGCACTCACTCACACACCATGCACTCACTCACACACCATGCACTCACTCACACACCATGCACTCACACACCCACCTCACACACCATGCACTCACACACCATGCACTCACACACCATGCACTCACACACCCACCTCACACACCATGCACTCACACACCCACCTCACACACCATGCACTCACACACCCACCTCACACACAGGATTGAACCGGAGTATTCACTTAACAAAAAAATGAGAATGGTTTTATCACTGGAAAATATACATTGTATGGACCTTTAGTAAACAGACAAGCATGCACACACACACACGCGCACAACCAGAGCCAGCAATACAATGTAGCGAATAATATTTTGAGGTACTAACAAGAGTACAGGAGCTTACTCTTGGTACTAGTACTAAAGTTACTGAATAGACAACCAGGGAGAGAGCGAGGGAGAGAAAATGCTCTGTGTATTTCATGGGACTTCATGACGAACGATTCATGTTTTTATCAGTGTGTGAGTGTTTCGTGTGTCTTCATGGTGTTGATTGATAATTCGGGTACAGAGCTAGCTAGAATCTATGTTTCGTATGCTGTTGGAACGGTCTGGTGATTCCTAATACATAATCTATACTGCATTGAACACAGTCTGGAGGGCTTGCAACAGCTGCTGCTGCTGTACCCCTGTCTGTGCAAGACTAGAGACTTCCGTCATGGTGTCTGTTTTCCACACTGGACTAACCGGCGGAGTGAGGAGTGCGGATGTGGAGATTCTCGGTAGTGTGGTGTTGAGAATGCGGCCGAGTCGCCCGACAAGCGGCACTGCATCGTCCAGCAGCGCAGGCAGAACTCGACATGCCCGTGTCAGCGAGGGCAACACGGGCAGGAACACGCTGGAGTACTCGTCCAGTGAACGCGTTGAGATAATGCCAGAGAGATGTGACATAGCACTGCGCGCCACCGACAGGGTACGCGGTAGCGGGTAATGTGAGCACAGGTGGAAACATAGCTGAAGTGCAAATATCTACAAGACAAGAGACAAACAACATTCACAGCACACATTTCCTAGGACAACTGTGTACAGTCCATTCACAAAAAGATGGGCTCTGGCTCTGGCGAGCTCCCGTATTAGGCGATTTTTCAAGATTTTATCGTACACAGTGCAGTGCTGTGAAATTTGAAATTTGAAAAGGATCCAAAAAGGGTACCTGAACTGGGGTTCGAACCGTACAATGCACTGTTGCAGGCAGGGTCAAACGGCCTGGATTTTGATGGGTTTTCCCAATTAAGGTGGCTCACACCCTCTGCGCGCGCATCGTTTGAAAAGTGTAGATTTTCAGTAAATTTTTCGGTAGCGATGATTTTTGTGCGATCAATCGTTGCAGGAAACGTCTTCTCGCTTTTCTGCAATTCTGGCGACCTAGCTAGAACCTGCTGCTAGTGTCCCTCTTCACTCGTTCTTTCTATGAAAGGGGAAGGCAGCACTCGCAGAAGATTTTCCAAGAATGCAATGTCGACTGGTGCTCGTACTATAAGAAGGGAGAAATCAAAGTCCGCTCTTGAATCACGCCTGAGTCTTAGAAAATTATTTCAGAATACGCTTGTGTAGATTTCCTGCCAGTGCCACTGACATCTCGCGACCTTCAAATATAACTTGCTCGATCATCTCCCGCACTGACTGGTAAATTCGTCGGGTAGCTGTGGATGGATCGATTCAGGGAGATCGAAGGTAAATACATCGAAGCACTTCAAACACGTTTCAAGACGCACTTCAAATTTTGTAATTGTGTCTTGAAAATTGTTTACAACAATTCGTACTTCAATACGCTGTTGAATTGTATCCTCTGCTTGGGAGTCTCGACTGTTCTATTGCTGCATGGCTTTCCTCAACACCGTTCACTGTACATGTATCGCGGAACGCAGATTGGATGGCATTGGAGTTGAATTTGATAATTTGTGACTGTGTCATCAACCAAGTGAGGACATCAAATATCAACAGGGACGTTCCGAAAATCACAAACGCTGCGAAATAGGTATGAAATGGTCTTACACACTGGTGGGTATTCCACATTCATTGTGTCATATCTTTAGACTGTTCGAAAGTTTGTCGTGCCGTGCAACTTTCACAGACTAATCCGATAATTGGCATGTGGCCCTATCGGCACACACTCATGCGTATGCCGCTGAGTCTATCTATGTGTGCACGCACATGTGTGTATACTTACACAATTTTATTACGTATGCAAAATTAGGCAATCTACATGTACATATATAATGTATATAAATGTGTGTGCACTCACTCCTATGACATAGAACGACAGTGCAGGCTATGTAGAGTCGCACGAATGTGTGTTACCCGGGTGTGTATATGCATGCGCACTCGCGCGGGCGTTTTGTGTGCGCGCCTGGCATGGCATAACGCCGTTCAATATGACTAGTGTTCAACCGTGGTAATTTGCCCCACCCCTTCTTTTTTCTATTGGCGTTGGATATGCAACTAATGACATAAACTCGGTTGTTGAAAACGAGTGCCATGCACCACAATGGATTGACAATAATATAATACAAGTAGCGCTGTAAAAGCGCTGGTAATACTCATGTTCCAGCCATGGCAGTTGTGATTAGCTTTCCAAGTCAAGCCTGCTGCAGAAATTATTGCACTCTGACCAGCTGGAGTGGCCCAGGACTGCAGGTTGTGGAGAACAGGAGTGATGCTTGTATATACGCTTGTATTTACATGATGGACTTCGAAGTAACGTTAGGTGTATTACTTGTATGTTCTTCTGCCTGTGCACGTGTACATGTGCTGGTCAGTGTGGAACCGCCATCCATATCAGATCATACAGCTCAGCTGCTATCAGTCTCAACAGCTTATATCTGGCAAATAGGGTTTTAGTGACTCAATTTTGCTTACTGTGTTCAACAGAGTGGCATTGCACACAGCTACTTTATGTAATAGTAGCATCTTGGAAATTTTATATTTTTGGTAGTTAGCTTCAGTAGAAACTTCTCCAGTGTGGCTCTTAGCTTCATTACCATGGAGACTAAGCATTCAAGTAATGCACGAAGAACAGTGGCTAGATGCGAAGTGAAAAGCCATTGCACCGTACCCAATGGAATACGCATTTAGTATAGCAGTATTGCTTGCTATGTTGGCAGCAAACACTGTATAATAATAATTGCATTACCAGTAGAAAGTGCCCAATGTGCATTGCTTCAGCACTGTGTTTTGGACAAAGCAGTCAAAAAATTCCACATCAGTATTGGCTTCATGTTGGAGAAAGTTGTGAAAAACACTAGAGCATACATGTACACTCAATACACATGCTCAGCTACATGTATGGCATTTAGTATGTGGGCGACTTCAAAGTTCTATTTTGGTAGTTAGCTTCGGTAGAAACTGTCTAAACTTGATCCAAAGCTCTACTACTATGTTCTGAAGATGTTGCAATCAAGTAATGTAAGACACGTATCTGCCGCATTGGAGCTAGTTGTGAAAACCTTTAGACCATACACACAATGCACATGCTCAGCTATGGCATTTAGTATGTGGGCGACTTCAAAGTTCTATTTCGGTAGTTAGCTTCGGTGGAAACTGCTAAAACTTGATCCAAAGCTCTACTACTATGTTCTGAAGATGTTGCAATCAATTATTGCAAGATACGTATCTGTCATATGGTGGAGTCAGGGGTTCAAAGGCGTTGGACAATGTCCCAGTGCAATGTGCTGATTCTTGAAAATATGGCATCACTTGACACTTCAAAGTTTTATTTCAAGAGTTACCTTCGGTAGAACCTGCTCAAACTTGCTACACAGTACCATTATTAGGTTATGATAGCATAACCATCGAATACAGGGCTAGTCCAGTGTCAAATACTTGTGGGCGGGGCTAATATGTGGGACGTGTGCGCTGAAATGGGATGATTCCGAAAAGAGAAAAAGGTCACCTTCTAGCAGAATTCTACCCACTTCTAAAGCTTATGCTGGTATTTAGCAAGTATACTACTGTCCTGATGTTGGACATCAAGAAAAATGGGGTAACTACGAGTGCTACGGCCAAAAAAGTGGTTTTCCGGTGTTTTTTGGCCTAAATTGGCAATTGTGAGTATGCTATGTTTGGCCCCTCCCCCGAGTGAAACCGGCCGGTAGAACTTGATAAAATTTTGTCTCCGTACACTAGATATCCTACGGAACAAAGTACAATCGTTTGTAGCCACGTTTCAAACAAAAAAATTTTGGACCCGAGGGGTAGGAGCCACCTTAAGTGCTCTTGGGGCAAAACCTGGCCGAAATCCTATTCCTGCTATGGCTTGCTTTTTGGAGAAATAGACTTCAGAAACATAATTGGAAGGGGATTGCAGAAAAAAAATCTAAAAAAACTCAACGTTTGACCCATTTATGGCCAAAAGCTAGAAGTCCATCTTTTTTCTGAATGGACTGTAGTCCACATTAATCAGTCTTCCCGCTACTAGGCCATGTCAAATATATTGACTGTTTACTGTCAGATTTTCACGAGAAATCAGGGATTTTAGTTTTTTAGTTTTATTTTGCATGTATGGCTGTATGGTACGTGTTCACAACCCCTAGACTTCTAGACGTAGGTGACTTGCCACTTCAGCGCTATCGTTTCAGCGCGATACATTTTAGCGCCAGCAACTCAGCGCGAAAAAGCAAGGCGCGGTAATTTACAGCGCGATCAAGTACAGTGCGAAGTCCATACGTGTACAGACATAGTCATTACAGGTGATGTTCATACATACATTGTATGTATTGTTAAATGGCGCTTAGATCTGTGGCGCTGAGAAAGGTCGCGCTGACGTATTTGGCGCCGAGATATTCGGCGCTTATCTGCTGGCGCTGAACTATACGGCGCTGGAATATGTGGCGCTGTCAATTCAGCGCTTAGGTTCATGGCGCTGAAACGGTCGCACTCACCTGGTTGGCGCTGAACTCGAGGGCGCTGAGCTCGAGGGCGCTGAAATGGCATGGAATCTAGACGTAGACATGCCTTCTTCTTCACTTTTCTTTTTTTTGAAGCCATTTTGCGCAGAGTGAGATAAATTCATGTAATGCAAATTAGTCGTCAGCCACGAATAACATCTTGCAAGATAATTTTGAGGATGCGAATTAGGAAAAGTGAAACATAACCAATGTAGGACAAGAAAAAAAATCAGGCAGCTGATAATCTCTTTCACTTTTCAAGCTTATAGCACCTACTTTAGTACATGAATGATGCAATCTGCGGACTTGGCCTATCAAGATCTACAGCCATGCTGATTAGAGGCCGTATAGGTGTAGATCACAGTACATATAGTACAGTTACCGGAACTAAAAATAAAATAATTTGGCCGGAAAGGAGAAACTCGGGGCGGGCGCAGACGATAAACAATCATTTTTTTCTACTTGACCCTACTGTAGAAATGCTGGAAATCACCACGGCCGACGAATCGCATTTCCCCAAGGGGACAGATTTATAAGGACAAGGCAACTGGGGAAGTGATTGTTGCCTGTGCTGCGTTGAATCCGCACCTTTCCCCACGGTGGGAAATGACGAGCCTACCATTTTGCCCACAACTCCCTCCGTCAAATACGGTACTTATAACCAGTGAAATACGGTACTGGTTTTTGCTGGTAAGTAGGGACAAGCAAGTGAGCAACAATACTCGCTGGTAAGTAGGGACAAGCAACAATACTCGCTGGTAAGTAGGGACAAGCAACAATACTCGTTGGTAAGTAGGGACAAGCAACAATACTCGCTGGTAAGTAGGGACAAGCAACAATACTCGCTGGTAAGTAGGGACAAGCAACAATACTCGCTGGTAAGTAGGGACAAGCAACAATACTCGCTGGTAAGTAGGGACAAGCAACAATACTCGCTGGTAAGTAGGGACAAGCAACAATACTCGCTGGTAAGTAGGGACAAGCAACAATACTCGCTGGTAAGTAGGGACAAGCAACAATACTCGCTGGTAAGTAGGGACAAGCAACAATACTCGTTGGTAAGTAGGGACAAGCAACAATACTCGCTGGTAAGTAGGGACAAGCAACAATACTCGCTGGTAAGTAGGGACAAGCAACAATACTCGCTGGTAAGTAGGGACAAGCAACAATACTCGCTGGTAAGTAGGGACAAGCAACAATACTCGCTGGTAAGTAGGGACAAGCAACAATACTCGCTGGTAAGTAGGGGCAAGCAACAATACTCGCTGGTAAGTAGGGACAAGCAACAATACTCGCTGGTAAGTAGGGACAAGCAACAATACTCGCTGGTAAGTAGGGACAAGCAACAATACTCGCTGGTAAGTAGGGACAAGCAACAATACTCGCTGGTAAGTAGGGACAAGCAACAATACTCGCTGGTAAGTAGGGACAAGCAACAATACTCGCTGGTAAGTAGGGACAAGCAACAATACTCGCTGGTAAGTAGGGACAAGCAACAATACTCGCTGGTAAGTAGGGACAAGCAACAATACTCGCTGGTAAGTAGGGACAAGCAACAATACTCACTGGTAAATAGGGACAAGCAACAATACTCGCTGGTAAGTAGGGACAAGCAACAATACTCGAGTGTGAATAACCCCTTACT